ATATAAGCGAGTCATGCGTCATTCTATGATGATTCTTCAGTGTCATGCATTGCGTACAAAATTCGAACATGGTGACGTCGTTAGAGCCATTGCAGCGTTTTTCCTAACTTAATTATTGTCGTAAAATCACAATTTCAGACCAGTAGGGTTTCATATAATTTTAATTGTGTATGAAAATCAAAATATTTGGCAAAGGTGTGCTGTGGCACAAATGACTGCATGAGATTAAAATGCTGAACAAAGTCATGCGCTCTCGAGTTAGACTCGGCCTCGTGATTTTTTTTATTTTTGCGTACGGACCAAGTTAAGCAGTTGTCGAAAGTTAACATTTCAACATAGAATTTGGGCCTATTTATTTTCTTCGTTTTCATTCATAAGAAACAATATTTTCTAGATATCCCTTCTTCAAAATCATAACTTACTGCTTTACAAGCTTTAATGTCAGGTAATGAATTTTTTATTAAAAATAAGATGATGCCGAAAATGTACGCCTTCACTTTTTTTATTTTTAATATGAAGAATATTTTTCTTACCTTAATGTGCTACCCGGGTACTAGGAAGTTTTTTAAAAGATCTATTGGGGTCGTTATAAAATTGCTTTTAAAAAGGTAGCGATATAATCTATTACTTACAGCTTAAATGAATATAGTCTGTAATTTTATAACTAAGCTATGCTAAAGTAGGTGCATTTTGTAATTATAGGTCGTGTTCTTCATTTTATTACTCAAGAAGATATTTCATGTTTTATTAAGAAATAATAATAAGTATATTGGCTATTAATCAAAGGTTTCTTATAATGTATGAGTTTGCAAACAGATCATCCAGGATCATTTGTTGCAGATGTTAAACTTGTTTATGATATTTTTTCTCATTCATATTGAAACGGATATAGGGCTGCAAATTTATACTTCTACTCGACACATACGGTGCAAGCCATTGAGCAGTGAGGGATCTTTTCCGTACCTAAGCACCCACTGTGACAAGGGACGCCAGTTTATACAAAGAATTGGGCGACGGCTGTGGGTACTATTTTCTGAAGGAAAATAATCCCCTGATATGACTTATTTTTATTTTTTTTCTGCTTAAATCTCAGAAATGCAACAATTTATTAATGTTAGATTTACAGAATGGTCCTCCTTTAAATCAAATCTGTACAGCCTCAAATTGCTTTATTTAGTATCACACTCATTTACACAACTCATATTGAATCAAACTTCAGATCTTTTTAAAATTCTTTAAAACTGAGGGTACAATAAAGCCAAAACCGTCCCTACTTCTTCAACACCTTGGTGTATGAATGGCTTAAGCTGTGTTGTTGGGTCAAACCTTTGTAGGGTGCTATTTTAAAATGCATGACTTTTAAATGAACGATGATTGAATCGATCAGGATGAGTCAAGTCATTAGATTTTTGCTCTTGACGGACAATGTTTCCATTCTGTTGCGTTTAGTTTTCTTTGCACTGCCAATCATTAAATTTATAACAGTGAGAAGCTAAAGGGTGATATTATATACAGATCTTCTAGGTAGGTCCATCCATGTAGAGATTATATCTTTTCGATTATTTAGTATCTTTTCACATTTGTACAACTGAGCACTAGGATGTTTTTCTTAATGTTAGGAGTTAATTTACTTACATAATTTTAAGATTTTAACTGTAAATTATATATCAACTGTAGTAAGTTTTAAAGGTACAGTTTATGATTTGAAATTATCTTTTGTTTTGAAACGAGAAATCAATTTATATAAGGTTTTTATACAGCGAGAGTGAGGCTTCTTGAGTATACTGTTAACATGCTGAATAACGCACTTTTTAAAAAGTGAGATAATTATTCCCTTGCAATAGTGTGCATCCAAGATATTTTCCCGAGTTTGGGGTGGGTGTGGGTTAGTTTTTGACTTTTAAAGCTTCAGTCCTTCATGAATTTTTATTCCATAAACCATTTTCACAGAGATCTACGTTTCTGGGGAGGGGTCCACAGCTTTGTTTTGCTCAAAATTTATTTCTAATAGGTCCTCAGCCTGGACTGATGTCAAATAATGCTGACTTGAATTATAGATATGCTCTTTGCAAAGGGGATGTCCTGCTGTGTTGTACCATTGATATACCGGCGACAATGGTCAGAAAATGCCTTAAATGTTCAGTCGTTCTTCTTAAATTATACCACATTTTTTTAGCGTAGAAAGATTTTTGTAAGATAATAGCCCTAAACTCAATATTCTGTCAGCAATCACGAGCGTTTCCACAAATTTTATATCCAAAATGCACGTGTAATGTTATGTACTCTGTATTCATATGACAATTATCATAATGTTTTAACTATACATGTTTGCTAATAGAGTGCATTAAGATTTATGAAATTATATTAGTATAAGTGATTGGATGCAGTTTTTGTAAATCAATGATGTTATGATAAACTGCAACTCTTTTCCTTTCTGGGCGCTAGTTGCATGTATTACTCATATCTATTTTATATATGGAAGACGCATAAATAGTATTTTAAATCAGATGATTAATGCCTAAATAAGGATATGTTACTAGACAGCTATCTTTTTTTTTTATTTTGATTTTGTAAAAATTCGGATTGTTTTCCTATGTATCATAGGGGTTTAATTTCCGATATGGTGTTTTGTTGGACAAATGGCCTGACAAATATATGCCTTTCTCAAAATGTTAAATTTCGAATAGTCAGCTCTTCTTTTCTGCATGACTAAAATTTCAAACTCAATAATCAATATTTTCTCGATTTCTTTATAAATGGAATAATGCATAGTTTCCTATTTGCTATATTTGCTATATTTTCAAAACCCAAAAATTAATTAATTTCATATTAATTTAACATAACAGTTAAAGTTGTGAATGACGTTTGATTTAATTTTTTCTCATTTAATTAACTAGGTTGATCACTATTGTATATTTTCTTAAACGAGAAAGCATTTAAATAAAACGTTTTCTTAGAATCAATGATAATTAATAGACAAAACGTTAACTACAAGCTTTTTCTAAGTAATTTAAAACATTAAGTGGTGCATTGTATGTGTAAGGACGCAATTCATCGATTTAACACATTGTTAGATGAAAACACAAACTTTAATTCATGTTGTGCGTGACTGGAACTAGTTGTAGGGTTTGTGATATGAAATAAGACCAATTTGAGCGTCCATGTGTGTGAAAAAAGTTTGACTCTTTGTTGAAACCGGTGATTACAAAAACCAGAAAATTCAATACCGACATTTTTTTAAAGGTTCACATTGGTTTTTTACTGGACTGTTTACGCTGTATTCAATGTTTTAGTTTAGGGACATGTTTTGCACGATAAATTAATGAAAATGGTATTGACCTGTTTTATTTTAAAAGCTTTCATGTTTTATTCTCTTTCGCGGGTATGTTAAGGCAGCACATGGATCAGAATTCGGCAATTTAACACTTTTTTATAATTATGTAACACTAATAAATCGGAAAAGCCAAGGATAAAAGGTTTGCTATTCTATAGACTTCAATGGAACTTGTACTAGTAAGCACTTCAATGACGTCACCACGTGAGGGTGTGTTATATATAATTAGAAAATAAGCCTTAATGAAAAAGTGAAAAGTTTAACACTGATATTAAGTTTCAATTTGTAATAATAGTTATGTAAAAACATATCTGTACCATGAAAAGTGCTGCTAGAATCCTACTGTCCTATCACAGAAATAATTATTAAACACTTTCGGAAGAAATCTTCCCAAAATTTTTACATTTTGATCATAACATCGGAAAAAATGTATCAATTCCCTTAAACCATACGATTCTAGCAGCACTTTCCAAAAACAATAGAATAAGAACTTTAGATGGAAACAAAAATTAAGTGTCAAGGTATGCGGCGCAGTGTTGAACTTTTGCATCTTTTTCGTTACAAACGAAGGAAAGACTGATTAAATATGCTTTAATTTTACGAAGAATTTGAAGGATTATATTACCATACCTTATTCATAAGCTTTATTTCCACATGAATCACACATGATATTCCTTCTAAATGCTTTTAAACTCCGATTTCTAAAGTGTTTGTTTACATAATTTTCGTTACGTTTCACTTTCACTCTGCCAATGCATGATCAACAGTTATGACGTCACGGGTTTGGTATTTAATACCTGTGATAACTACAGAGGCCGAGTAACGACAAATTTCCGTTTATATTATGCCTATGCATATTTTGATTCATTTTAACGCTCTCGAATCAATTTAGATATCGATTTTAAGAAATTGTTATTTACCTAACGTCATATAGCTTACTATGACGTCATAACATATAGGCAAGTAGAATATTTGGTTGTAACCTTAACCTACCTGCGTTGATTAGATATTTAAAAACGCATGCGCTACTTGATGAGGGTGCGTCAGGTTTTACGATTGCGAATGTACATTAAATCTTAAGGTTTTCTTAAATTAAAACAACTACAAAATTAATTGATAAGTTGTACATTAGTACTTGCATATAAATCGATTTGTAATGCTTTTTTCTTTATTCAAATGTGCATGGAGTTTAAAATCATGAAAAAATATATTAATTGAATTATATGAATTTAGTGATTTAATGTTGCCATCTCATTTGAATAGTAATATCGATACCTATTTTAAATTTGATATTTTTTCAAAGAAGAGACACTTAAAAATACAAATTACCATGTTCTTAGAGACTGTAGGCAATATGGATATATTTCCTTTGTCGAATATGAAAAAAAACTTTCGTATTCATGTCTGGTTTTATTAATTTTTCATTGAAAATGGCAGTTAAAATATTAATATGCTTTTCCATATTGTTTTTCTATAAATTATGACTTGAAACACCTTATTTGATCAAGCTTAAATTATAAAGCATTATTAAAAGAATTTATTTCTCAAATTTGATAAATCTGTAGGCATCTTTCTTTTACTACATCTTGACTTTTAGTAATGTTCCTGTACATTTAACATAAGTATTGTTATATCGATTTAATACTCAAAAGAGAGAAATATTTAATCTTGTAAAGGATGATATACTTTGTATATGATTGCAATCTTGCTAGGGATGTTAAACTACATGTTCAAACAATCTATCACCCCATCCATAAAACGTACACTGTAAAGCGTTTTTTTCCTATCATTTTAGAATGAAGAGGATAGCTATATGGTTTTATACTGTGATTATACTCAGCAGTGTGTATATGCTGTGCATGTTTTTCCACGTCTACGTAATGAGAAAACATTTTCAATTTCTCTTCTTACATGGTCACAGTAAAATCTTCGAGGACAAGGATGTCCAAAGTTATACCTGTCCGAGTAATATATCAAAAACTCATTCAGAGGATATTCTTTGTATGGTACATATTCATACATTTATAAACAGTTAGCAGTAAAAAGATTTGTGTCTGATTAATTAAGTTTAATTTTTTTTTTATCATTTTGTTTTACATTTGAATATTTTATTACTGGGTATAAGCTTGAAGAATTATCTTTCTTCTTCTTTTTTTTTTTTTATAAAAATGTTCGATTTAAACATATACATGTTAGAACTATTAGAATTTTTTTTACATCAATGATGTTTTGAGTATACTTGTTAGCATTGGGTAATTTTAGAGAACCATATCTTTAAATTAAGGTGATGGACGAATCTAAATTTTCTTTAACAAGGCAATCAAATTATTCAGTTTCATTTATATGTGACATTGGCCCGACAACTGATCTAGTTAATCACCTTTTAGGTCACCTGAGTGACGAAGGCATAATACTATCTGTTTTTGTCATCTGTCATGCGTTGTGTGGTTACATTTCAACATTTTCAGCTCTTCTCTGCAACTGCTCAACCAGTTAAAACTATGCAATTTTGTTTTTAAAAAAAGCATCTACGGTTGACGGAAAACAATAAATCTGAATTTCATGGTTCCCTTGCCTTTGGACCTAATAAGTGGAACCAAAAATAGTAAAATTAATATAATCTTGAAAAATCATTTTTGCACATCAAGCAGACAAACTGTTAGCGTGATTATAATAAGTACATAATGATTTGAGTCTTCTATAATATTGTGAAATTCATGGCCCCAACCAAACTAAGCATTCTAACTGTATGCTAGTTATGAAAAGAAATGATCCCTCTTTCCAAATTATGAATGTCATGATCTCTGGTTTAAAATACAAACCGAATTCAATTGTTGGAAAGTTGTAACATGATGCTCAGGTGACCAATAAGGTCCATACGCCTATTGTTTAATAAGCGGATAATTTTTTAATGCTTGGAAACACTCAAACAATTTTCAACATTTTTTTTTCTGCAGAATAGATATTTTGCTTATCAAAATTGTTCTCTGGTCAATCATTGAGATTTTATAAGTTACCGATTTCAGTCATATAATCTGATGTAATCAACATGATCTGTTGGTCTTTATTCTGAATGTGCATTATGTAAATTATATATATTTTCTTAAACAGAAAAGAGAAAAATTCCTAACAAACTTTAAAAATCCATGTTGGTTCAAATTCATAAATACAACGCAGGGTCCGAAGAAAGAACTTCGATGTTTCCCATTCTTTCATATATTTGGTGTGTGTAAATCTGGAACAACAGATCTATTCTTCCGTTTGACCCAGCATCCACAGATATTAAACAACACTGGTGTTTTAAATAAGGAAACCCAATTTTGGTCATGGAAACGTTTTGGACAAGGTAACTACTAGTATTTAATTCTTTTTTTGTTAAGGATCGGTTTAATTATGTATCACCCTACTCAAGATTTTAAACCTTCGTTTCAGATGGGCATTTTTCTCCTATTATCATGCAAACAGTTTTGAATGATAAAACAATTATATTTATATCATTTTTAAAAATTTTTATTGTGTAATTTAAAAATTCGTTAAAATAAGGTTAACCCCTGGGCCTCAGCATGGACGAAAGAAAATTGCTTATTTAAAACTTTATTGGGGGGAGGGGGATACCTTTTAATCTCATAAAAACAACTTCCCTTGAAGATGAAGTGATGATAATTGTGTTTATAGATTGAAATATTTTGAAAGTATGTAAGCCATGTCTAAGACTTGTAAAGAATTTTGAAGTCATGATGACACCATGTTTTGTTGTTTGTAACCGAAAAACATCGATCGAGTCTCAGCAACTAAAGAAAAACATTTAACATAGACAAAAATGATTTATGCAAGATACATAAAACTATCAATATTATAGACCCATTTAAGACAATTTAAACATAAGATGATTTTTTTTAACATCACAGCAAATAACAGAGCGGAGTAATCCGTTTTAAAATCAAACCATTGATTTTCAACACATGCAGTGTTGTTATTACTGCAGTAGTGTCAATGATTCTGACACTCATGTGAAATGTATCTCAGGATGTTAAATTATATTTAGTTGCTCTTCACAATTTTTGAAAATATATAAGGAAATAAATCGAAATACACAAATATAAGTGTCCAAATTGACATTTCAGGCCTTAAAGTGAAATAAATCTCCTTCAAACAGAATAAGTCGACGAGTTTCCATTCAATTCGACCCAAAATTAAAAATTACACGCCCGGTTCATTCAAAAACGCCGGGTTGAGTCACGTGACACTGAGCTAGATGGACGTTCCTTCTCGGGCTCTTTGTTTTTTTTTACAGTTAATTCTATGTGGGTCCTTTTTATTGTGAAAAAAAAGTTTCATATGGAATCTTATTGTGTTTCCTAACGTGTGTGTGTAAAAAAGTTGATGATCTTTCTTGGATTGTAAATATTTTTTGTACATGGTGTATTCAGTGTATTGTGTTTACTTGGAGTTAACCTGGTGAGTTACGCTCACCTATTCATTGTACTGCCATGGATGAAAACGACCCGGAGAACTTTAATTCATTATCAGTTGAACGCACATATAAACCGTTATACCTAAGGAACAGTGACCTGCGGTCTGACGGAGGTAAACAGTTCACTGATTATGAATTGATTGAACCAATCAAGCGAGTTGTGGGTGATGATCTCCTGTGTGTACAATTGGACAGGAATCTCTGGCGCATTTACTTGAAGAATACGGAAAACCGAAACAAACTTTTAATACAGGGTATGGAGATTAACAGTATTTCTTACCAGTTCTATGACACAAATCCATATACATCTGGTGCAAAATCCGCAGATCAGAAAACACTTAAATTTAAAATATGCGGTCTTCCTTTATCTGTGTCCGATTCTTCTGTCCACGAAATGCTTGACAAATTATGTGTCAAACTTGTTAGCAAGATCTTATACGAAAAGATTCGACACCCCGAAACTAACAGAATGACAAGTATTTTGAATGGTACAAGATTCATATGAATACCTGACGGTAAAAGCCTACCTAGAACAAATTATTTTTGCGGGTGTCCAATGTAAAATATTTCATTTTGGACAACCTAAGAAAACAGGTAACCTGGTTTGTACCAACTGCTGGGGTACTAACCACACACGATCAAGGTGCACATCAGCTACATGTTGCAAAGTCTGCAAACAGCCTGGACATGCCCCTGGCGACAAATCATGCCCCCACTTTGAACCTCAGAAACACGTTATACCCTTTTGTGGAGCAGATGATGTCCTTTCAAATTTTTTTCCGTGCGAGTTGGATTTTTGTGGCGTCAAACATAAGTCTGCTGAACATGCTTTTCAATATACAAAAGCACTACGATGTGGCGACTTGGACGCAGCAAACACCATTAAAGACACAGATGATGCCCTCTCTGCCCTGCGTCTTGGGAAAAAATTAAGACAAATGAACAATGGGAGTCGACAAAAAAAGAGGTCATGGAGGATATCCTTGAAAACAAGTGTGTTCAAGTCCCAGTCTTCTTAGAAAAGCTGAGAACCGCTAAACAATCCACTACCTTTGTGGAGGCCACCTATAACAACGAGTGGGGATCGGGACTGGATCGTACGGGAACACTAAATACCAAAAATTACACACCCAAAATATTTATCCATTGGCATGCTTAGGAAAAGATTTTAAAAAAGCTTACCGATAAGTTATTTGTAGTTCTGAAGGATAAAAAAGATCTAGATGCTCTGTGAGTTTACTTTAAAGATACCCCACGCCTATCATGATTTTTACCACAAAGTCAATGTTTTGCTCTAAGAGACCCGAAATAAGTGCCAGATCTAAAAGTAAAAGAAAAGGTGCACAATGGCATTATGTAATAAGGAATTTGAAAGTATCACTTAATTGTTTTGAGTGATAAAAACGGAATTGCGGATATGAGATTTATAAACCCTTCAATATCAGAAAGAATTGCTATATCCATGTTTTGGTATGGGGGCCAAATTATGTGTCAGATCAACAATTAAAATAGAAGATGCAATTTGGCACTATTTATAACAAAGACTCTGTGAACCCTCATTAAATTTCATTCATGATCAGTGGTAAAGGGGAAGTTGCGGATTAGAGATGGGTACCCCAAAGCGTAACATACGGACTTAAAGACAGATGGGTGGATGTATAGACGTATTGATTGATATATATCCCATCACTATATCCCCCTTCCCCTGCATTTTAGTGGGGGTATAATGCATCTCATTTACAATGAAGAAATCAACTAAAATGTGTTTATAATGGGTTTTTAGACACAGGAAAATGGAAACAAAAAAATATTTCTAAATTTTCCAGTGTTTTCAATATTTATTTTAGATGAGTTTTCGGTATTTGTTACGACAAGCTTACTTTTGGTACCTGGAAAGTTGTTTTATGTGAATAATTGACGTCTCTACAGAGGTTTTTCTGCAGACTCACGCGGTGATTCAGTGTTGTGGCATTAATATTGTAAATGTATGACGACTGTTTTAAGGATGATAACAAAACTTAATTGATGGCATAAAATCAAAATTTTACATAATTCAAACACTCATAAATTAGTCTTTTTATCATATCTTTCCAATTTATTTTTATACCATTGAATTTAATAATTATCAGCTCTTAAATTAATAATTATTCTGAACTATTCAAAATTCGGAACTGGCCAAACGACTGTAATTGTACGAGAGCAGTGTATTATTTTGTGAGCTCAGTGCTCACAGTACCTCTAGTTTTATTTTTACGGGCATGTAAATGAATAATATGTGGAACAAATATTTTTAATTTAAGATCGAATAAGATAGGACCCTCTAAGGTATTCGGACCTCGTCGGCCTATTCATAATTCGTAAAGAAGTACCTATGTGAACTTGCTAAAAAGTATTTTTTCTTTGAAAGGAAAAACTTAAATGAAACAAAATTTAATTTCATAATATATTGAGCTACTTTGACAAACTACTTATTTTTTTTATTTTTAAAAATGCCTAATATACATTGTACTGACATGTATAGCTACTCCAAATCAATTTCTTAATAGGACTTGGTCAAACAACGGTATAGCTTTGTTTGTGTCGTGTACATGATGCTTTCTATTAATTCAATCTAAAATATTTAGACTCCTCCGACCGAAGAAACCTAACTCTGGACGACTTTTCAAGATTTTTTAGAGCCAACAAAATTGGAAGGACAAAGATTGGCTTTCAAATGAAGACTAACTACTCAGATTTGATTACAGGTATGTCATTTTTATCCAAATTTAATATTGTTTTTTAAATATTATTTCTGATTTGATTATGAATTTGTTCTGATCTTTAGGAATTGAATGTTATATTTTTTCTTTCACCAAAATATCAAAAAAAATATCTTGAAGAAAAATGTCTTTTAATGCGCGTAGTGCATTTATGATAAAAAAAAAATTCAAATTTGTCCTTGATTTTTCATTCACTTCTTGATTATCATGTAAATATGGTTAAAGAATAAGAAGATGAAACTTCCTTTCACTTTAATGTTTCATTTTCACACCAAAGCCATTGTACAGAAATTTATAACATGAACATTGCTGAAATTCAAAATGGCTGAATGTTAAGATTAATCTATGCACATTGATGACGATTTCCGAACAAGTTTTCTTTGATGCATAGATCAAAGAAAAATGACTATTAGATGTAAAAAGATTAATTCAAAGGACATATTCAAAAATAGGTTTGTTTGTCTTCTTGACTGACCAATACTACTCCTACTAAAAACCTTTTTAACCACCAGAATTTAAAATATATATATATTTTTTAATCTAATTTTAAGTTCTACCATCACATACCATTTATAACCATTACAACATCACATTCAAAAGCATTTTTAAATTTCAAGTTAGTTTTTGTCATTCAACATTTATCTTTTAATAATGAGATTTGCTTCTTTACCTAAATTTCAAAAGCAGTATAACAAACAAACAACGTTCTGAAGTATTGCCATGTCATTACCAGCTTTTTCTACTGATAAAAGTTTTGAGATACTGAAAAAAAAATGTCTGTTATATTATAATTTTTGCTTTATATCAAAGGGTATATTAACCCAGGTACCTGACGAGTTTCAAATATAATATGAGAAATTTCATGTAATCAAGAAGACTTTAATCCATTTTATGTGCCTTGCAAAATTAAAAGAAATCATTCAAACTTTAAAACCGTTAGGAAGACTCCTATTTATCTAAATGATAATTTTAGGGAAATAGATGCTAAGTTTAGAAGAAAAACTATTTTCTATTTTTGACTTCATGAAAGATTTTTAGAAAATGAATATAACAAAAAATAAGCAATCTCAGAAAGCCATTGACATATTGCAAATCGGAGGTATAGCAAACTTAGATTTCTAATATCAACCAAAATTGTATAAAGTGCCTTTGATGAGTATTCATATATATACTGTATCATTTTTTAAAACGATATCCATTCACAATTAAACAGATTTCTATGTAGGTCATTCCGATCCTATGGATTTTTTGGACCACAACCACTGGCGGGAGATCCCCCAGAATGATCCTAATTCAAATGAGCCGAAATTCCTGACACCTCATTTTGTGAGGCACGTACAGCCAAACATAAAACTGATATTACTGCTTCGGGAACCAGCAGAAAGGTACATTATTTAGAGCCAACTGAGAACCCTATTTTGAAAAGTAATAAACTAAACTTAAATTTAGGTAAAGGGATAATTTTTTCGGTAATGCTTGTATTTTAGATTTTTCCTACTGCATTAGAATTAATAAACAATTAATACAACTCTATCAAAGTTTCCTTGATCATTAACAATATTAAATGCGTATTGATGATTATTCACCTTATCATCCCGTATTTAATGCAATCAAATTCTAATACTTTTTAGCCCCTCTTGGCTGAAAGCTCAAGTAAACTTTTCTGATCACTAGTTTTCCGTTTGTCAAGCTGTCCTTCCTTCTTTCAGTCTTTCGCATTCCTGCTACTGAGCTGTTTTTTTAACATTTCGCATAAAATATTATTGTGCAAAGGAAATCGGTTCAAAGGAAAGGCTAATGCCTCCAACTGCACCTTACACATAAAGCAATTCCCAAATCGTATGGATACGTCCACCTCTCTAAAAATTATACACCCTTGGTTAGATTTCACATATTGTATGAATGATGAAAAAAATTTAGATGTGCTTTTTCAATTATTGTTAAGTTTTTTTTTTCCAAATTACGTTCTTGCTTTTCCATAGATTAAACAAAAAACTGCGTTTGTAAATGAGAAAATTATTCACTTTTTAAGCATCTGCATAATTTTCAGACTTTACAGTCATTATCTGCATGGGCATTATGGTGAGACACCAGAAGAATTTCACAATGCAGTCCTGAAAGGCACAGAACTCCTTAGATCATGTTTGTCTAATAACAGTCTGAAGACTTGTTTATACAAATCTGATTTAAGTAAGGATATGAAAGTGAGTGAAGTGAAATCAAAATGATCATTTCGGAATATTTCTCAATTTTTATTTCTATTTTTTTTTTAAATAAATAAGACATAATGACGATTTTTTTTCTTAAACAGTGTAACATGCTTAAAAAATGATCAAATTAATAAATTGAATGTCATCTTTCACCATAAACAATAAATCTGTTGTAGATTTAATGTATAATGGTCTTTATTTGTTTGAGAATAATCTTTTATCTATTACAGTCTATGAAACATGTATTTTGTGTATGTATTAAATAAAGAACACAGTTTACATGTTTGTACACTAAAATAAACGATCTTACCTAACATAAAACAAACTGTAATTAAAAGTGGTTTGCCTTATTCCATATTTTTAAAAATCGCTTTGAAATGAGCTTTTTTGTATCACTGTTTAGTGTTACCTTGTCCTTTGCACACATTTTCAGCTTCCATTATCCGCTAGTTTGTACTATATCCATCTACAAGAGTGGCTAGATGTGTTTCTGAGAGAACAATTTCTAGTGTTAAGAACTGAAGATTACCAAAAGGATACGAAAAACAGTCTTCTTCAATTGTTTACGTTTCTTGGTGTAGGTAAGTTAAGTATATTCCAAATAGTAATACATGTATTTATATTTATAATTTGGCAATCTTGAAAAAGGTTATAATTTTTAACCGAACTTCTATGATGGTATTTGCGTGCTTCAAAATATTACTAGAATTAAAAATGAATGTTTATTTATCATTCTGTAAAAAAGCAAGAAGTATATTTCTAAGAAAATGTTCTTCTAAATATGATTACATAAATTCATATTTGCATCATCATTTGTATTTTGTATTTTTATAGGAGATATTTATTTGGACGTTATTGAACGTATTGTTAAGATGCCACATAAATACGAGACTAAAAGTAAGATTGAACAGGGTTCCATGTTGAAAGAAACATGGGACATATTAATTGAATTTTTCAAGGAACCTAACAGAAGATTGGCTGCTGTATTAAATGATGAACGCTTCCTTTGGAAGGATGCACTATTCAAGTTTAGAGCTAAAGAGATACCAAAAACAGAACCAGCGTCAACGACATCATCCGTACTAGATCACAATATTGTTAACAAAAGCAAATCAAAGAACACTCAACAAATAGCAATACCAATACGGAGAAAACTAACTAAAATGTCAAATAATATTCTAAATCAATCTGTAGTAAATAAAAATAATTCAGGAGTTCAGCGTTCGCCTGAACTGATACCAAAAACACACACAAATATTCCAAAACAAACTTCAAGGCCAAATGTTTTTCACAATAGTACATCGAGAATGAAGCTTAAGAGTACACAGAGAGTACCTTTTACGGAAATACCATCACTGAAAAAGAAATCAAATGTTTCACATAAGCACACCTCTGGCTCAGTCACACAAAATAAAACAAAAAGCATAGGGAAAGGCCCAAGAGAGAAGTCGATTAAAAAATCTCAAACTCTACTTAATCAAAACACAATGAACAAAACAAAAGAAAGTACTCAATTACCTGAGCAGGCTTTTAGAATGAAGAAAACGGTGTCAGAAAACTCGTATAATTTAGCGTCTACTAGCAAAAAAAAGAGCACTCGTAGACTCATCACAACCACTTCATCTAACAAACAGACTGGGAAAGGATAGCAATATGAGTAAGACATTCACAAATAATGTATAAGTAATTGAACTTTACTAACTCTGAAATGAACCCCTTGGTAAAATTCCTCTCAAGAATGTGTTCTTCGTATGCAAATTTCAAAACCGAAGCAAGATATTGACATATGTGTACTATTGATGAAAGAAGACTATTAAGAGTTTCCTTTTAAGTTAACATTTCTTAATTCTCTGATCCATGTAATGACCTTGTCATCATATACCGTATAAGCAGTATTTTTAGCGAGGATTTAATTTTGGCATTATTAGCGAGGGTCCCGAGGTCGCTCAAATTAAATATCGCAAAAAAAATGATCTGTGTTTAAATTGTAATAGCTTTTTATTGAGAATTTTAAATCGCTAAAATTACTACTCGCTAAAAATAAATTACCATAATTTAAGGACAAATCGCTAAATTTGCGTCTCGCTAAAATTTCCACTTATACGGTATAATCTATGAATACGTAGAATGTTGACAGACGTTTTTCACAGATATTGGTATACCTTATTACTTGACCGCCTGCATTGTGAGGAGATTTTCTTTACGTTTAAACATTCTTGATGAGGATCACATTGAAGCCCTGGCCAGGTCAATATGAGATGTTTATACTCTCCATGGTACATTTTCTTAATCCAACCCTCTGGTGTATAAGAGGTATGTGTCGCCCTCTTCGAATGCTCAAAATAAGTATTGTTGAACATTGTAATAGACTACTGATTACAGTTTCATTACAGTCAATCTTCAAATGATTTTCTATAATTATACATTTAAATCTCTCCAACATTTAAATGTGTAAACTTCCTTTACCAGCTCATATTCTTTATACCGTCGTTGAAACCAAATAGCAAAATCTACGTTAATTTAAAGTTTTCTATGAGATCACATTAAGTAAAATGAATCTTGTGTTTTCATTTCATTTTGGCTCAAAAATAAATAAACCATATCAATTAAAATTTTCTTATATGCGTTCATAATTGTGTCTAAATGGGTGATTGTGTTGGTTTGTGTGTATGAGAGAGAGAGAGAGCGAGAGAGAGAGAGAGAGAGAGTATGAATTGTAAAAAAAAAATCAGTTTTTTTTCTTGTTATCTGAATTACAAAAACAAAAAAGATTAATAATTTTTCTATCTGAAAAACATCAATGTCTACTTTAACATTTTCTTCAAAAAGAAAAACTGAATTGAGAATTGTTTTATAGTTTCATGTTATATATTCATATTCAATGTTATCGTCAACTTTATGGGACAATTAATTGAAACTGTGTCCCTTTATTCTTGTAACAAATAACTGTAAGATTATATTGTTAAATATCATGAATTGGACGAGGTGTGTCATGGGGCAAATATATAACATTTAAAATAAAATTGCATGAAACAATTTTAAAAAACACATGTGTTTATAATACAGATGTAATACAGAACTACCTCATAGGCCGAATTTTAGTAGGAATTGTGACTACCTCATCTGCTTCTCAAACAAAAAAAAACATGTATAAAAATTATTCTCACATCTACATGTATTTATTCATAAGAAATATTGTCCAAGATTACTTTTTCCTAACTGTTCATCTATGCCTAAAACACTACATTTTACTACTTTGAAACTATAAAATAAAACATTAACATTGTCTGCTTATTATTTTGATTTTTAAAAGAAATCTGATTAATAAAATTAATTCAATGGAAATATTGTTCCATACAAAATATAACTTTGAATAAAAATACAGGATAAAAGCTATTAAAAGATGAACACGAACGAAGATGTTTTCTTGCATCTAGTAGGTTAAATGATCATTAACGAAACAATTTAAAACAAATACTTTATTAGCCATACACTATATTTTAATAAGCAGAAAATTGTTTTGTTTCTGAATTTGAAATGAGGATAGTGTACACCTTAAGGACACCCATTGATATCTAGAATGATGATTGCTTCAGATGATGAGAGTTTAATGAAATGTACTGCTAAAATATGTCGTGGTACACCAAAAATAAAACTTTAAAGCGGTAGAAAGTAAGTACACTGTATATCGAAATGGGTAGAAATTCGTACGATTTTATATAAACTGTGAATATAAGTATATTTTACATGAACAAGTTATACAGTTGTAAATGATTAAGTTTAATCCAAATATTAACGTTTTAGCTCCAAATGCAACATTTGTTCAGATGGAATTATGAGTTATTTGCTACAGTTTCGATCTTAATCAGGAGACATCGAACAACCTGTTTTCAATTAAATATCACAAAACAGGAATATCTTGACGTACATATTATATTCTCAATGCCATTGGACAAAACACTTCAATATATATTTTGGTAACATATATATGAGGGCACCTGCAGGTAACCTTGAGAATTTGTATGAAAAAATAAACGTAATGTAAAACGTACGCTTTTTAAGGACAGACGAGACGTTCCTTAATAATTGTTATTTTTTTTCTAAGAATTTGTCGTTGAAGTATTGCTACTAAAACATGTTTACACACAAAGAATTGAGGTACCTTACCAGGTATTTCTGCAAGATACCAGGGATAGTTTTTCTTATATAATCCTTTTGGGAAAAAATAAAAAAAAATTCGAATTGGAAATGTTTAAGTGTTTGGATTTAAAAAAAAAAAGTTTAGAAACTGGTTTAGAAATCAGAATGTTATTAAAATTTTGAATATTTTTCATACATTACGAAAATATACAAAACAGCTTTTGAGGAACGTCTCGTCTGACCTTAACAATATATAAAAGCTCAAATATTTGATAAATTAATTAATTTGTTGAACGCCGTGTCGGCAACTTTACAGCCATATCTGGGCTTCAATATTTGATGAAGTATATGTAAATGATAATTATACAATTAAAAAAAAGTCTGCATGAAGATGAACGCCAAAAGTTAATCTTCCAGGGCAACCAACTGTCTTAATTTTTTGAAAACTATTCCAGTATCCCACAAAAACAGATTGTCAGTTTTCTAAGTCCACCAGACTTATCTGTGGGTTGATACTTGACGGAGTCGCAGCTCTTTCCATGTCAGATTTAGATGACTTTACAGATGAAATACTCTGAGCAGTGATAGATCTGTCGAAGACATGTTGATTAGGAGGAAGGCTTTTTTCAACTGGACTCACGTGGTAGAATAAATTGTTCAAATAGTTGTCTTTTTCTTCTGGTTGACCCACTTTTCTAAAAAAGAAATTGAAATATTTTAAGACATAATGGATTTTTTAAATTGTTCTACTACAAAGGAAATGTCGTGGTGGATTTGTTTGAATTTTTTCAGAAAGGTATTAACTGTTGACTTAAATCGTCTGAAAAAGAATCAAGGTAAATTGGATCCCAACCTTTTTGTTTCGTTGTATTTTTTGCATTTGTAAATAGTAAACATTACAACTATTCCAATCACAACCACTGCTGATAAAGGCCCGACCACAATCAGAAGGGGAAATCCTTCATGGAAATATGCAAAAAAAGCATTATTAGAAATGTAACTACATTTATGTGAGTAATAACTCAGTTTTAAATTGGAGCATATCTCCATTTTCTATTCGAATATGCAACTATACATAATTTCAAGTAAATCATTAGATTGCAACAACTGAAAATTTTTTCATAAATTTCAAAAAATATATTAATATTTTACCATCTGCCTTTCGTTTCTCTTGATGGGTATTATGCTGTGTATATATACTTTGTTGCGTTGTTGAGGCATCTTGGAAATTCGTTAGAGCTTCCGTACCATCACTGTTTGTATTAGCTTGAGAGGAATATGACATTGTTTGGGATGTGGTACTGTGTTCTCCATTTGTGGTGCTTGCTACATTTTCTGTAACGTTATCACAGGTGTCCTGCAAAATTGTATGTGATGACAGATTTTTTAAATTAAAGAAACAAGGAAACAAAGAAATCTAGTCAGAAAATATGTGTACATGGTTGGACAAAATGCAAACTTAAACACTTATTTTAAAAAAAATTATTTACATGTGCATTGCCTTATAGTATCCCTATATCTTTTATAAATCAAATGCGGAAATATTTTGTCCTTCATCAGTTTCGCAAATTGTACTAATGTAAGTAGATAATATTGATATTGTTTTCTAAAAAAATTTTCTGGCCAAAACAGATGTGTATGAAACACAAAAGGATAATCATATCAATTCAAATTCCTGTGGCTCTATGTCTAAGTGTTTGATACATCATAGAATGGTAAATATTCTGAAAGATTTTTTTACTCATTTAAACACGGTTATTGCGATAATTCTATTCGTTAGACCTACGAAAATTCAAGAAAGAACAATAATGAGTTAGACGTTACCAAATATTCACAGACAGCAGTTGTTGAATTACAGGAAAAACATTGTTCATCATAGATAAAAAATGTCATGGAGTTTCCAAAATGAACTGCATCATAGGACAGGTGTATATTAAATGCAGTGGCATATGGCTCAGAAGACGTTGCTCTCTTTCTCCTAGTGGACTTTGGTAATGTTATTGTAATGAGTGAAGAATCTTGGTAAGAAGCTGTTGAAATACTTGTTCCGGTGATCATCTGTGTTCCATTTGTTAATATCTATAAAAATATATAGGAAAAAAATCAAGAAAAAGTACATTATTAGAAGGCGATTTTCATTCCTTAATTAAGGCTAATTATAATGAAAACGCGGAGAGAGCGACAGAAAAGGGATACAGCTGTAATACTAAAAATGTCTAGAAATCTTAAAAATTATATCTAAGGTTAAATGAAACCCTCTCACCTTAACATGCTCGTACTTCACATGTATATCCTCTGACAAGAAATATCCCATAACATTTGTTTTAAGGCACGGTCTTACACGCTCCCCACAGAGTCCTTGTCCTGGAAGTCTGGTGTTGTCAGGTGGAACAGTTACCGAATGAGAACAGTCGAATCCTATGTAACCTGAATGACAGTTACACTCTCCTAAAGAGGAGAAAAAATATAAATACTCTGTACGTAAATGTAATTCATGCAATTAATATCTGCATGTAAAAACATTTGCATCTAGAGTAGAGTTATCAGTTATTCTTTTGATTAAATGCATTGAAAAATACCGCCATTGCAGTCCCCGTTCCCAGAGCAATTGTTGAAGCAAGCCATGGATGTAAACATGTTGAGAACACTCTGTCCAGTGGTATTATCTACGATGTAAAAGCGTTCGTCTCGTCTCATCAGAGACACACAATGATCTTTAATACTTTCCACTGTTAATGCCGTCCATTCAGTGGAGCCATTAGAATCCTTTTCGTATTGAAAAATAACTCTTATAAGATAGATTAAAACAAGTCTTCACATCAAAAAAGTTTAATTGTTCTGTTAGTACATGTACTTACTCTGATGTCAAGAATACAGTCCTCAATCGCTTGGGATGTCATATTTGACAAATCCAGGTGTCGGTCGCACTCTTCTATGGATGGATCAAGATTAATTTTGTCTTTGCAGTGGGATCTGGCAGACTCCTCTGTCCAACCATTTGTCCAGTTCGACTCCTTAAACACAACAGAAGCTTGCTAAGTTGCAGTATACCTTTAATGTATATTCTAGACCCTTCAAAATCTACTGTTGAGGTATGGCATATGATGATCTTTATCAAGTATGGCTTTTTATAGAGTAAATAAAATAGGCATGCTTATAACTCAGTGCAAGGAACAGATATATATGGTTTTGCTGTGTTATTTATGTTACTCTTTTATCTAAACCCCTCATTATGTTTTAAATGACGAGGAATATATGTGGGGATAACGAACAGCATTCGAACTCAAAGGTCAGTTAAACAATACAAAATGGGAGCGGAGAAAACACGGATCTCCAAAACAAGTGCCAAATCAAAACAAGCGTTTGCCTTACGTGTCTTTTACTGTTATCATGTTTTGATTCATTACAGTTACGATAGAGCATACATTATGTACGAGTTTAAAAGAGAAAACATGCTTACCACCGGTATATAGTCTGGATCAAAATCGGGATCATAAACTATGGTTTGAGTCTCAATAATGTTGTCCCCATTGTCTATCGATCTCCTCCGCCGTAGTCCCCCTTCACAGGCTTCTTCAAAAGGAGAATTCCACTGCACTTTGGAGCATTTAACCATGGCGTCAGTGATGGTACAGTTTGCCGTGTAGTGGTTGGGAAAGTCTCCAAGACTCTTTGCTTCTGTTGAGCATGAACAATATACCGGCAACGTATTGACTGAGGTGGTGAGATCTACGTTTGGTCCGAACAAACTTCTTGTTGATTGGATATTTGTTATTCTGGGAAATAAAAATATAAGTTTAAAATACGCAAATATTTCAAAGACAGATAGGATTAATGGTTTTCTTTCTTATGTTTTTTTCACGTAGAAAAATCCTATCAGAATAGACACCTACTCCCTAATAATATGCATATTTGGGATCCCATTTACTATTATTATTTAAGAATCCAATCGGTATAAGACATCCCCACCATCGACATTTTAAACTAAACACCAGCACAATGCTTTTCAACAATAAGACTGAGCTTTTTCCAGAAATAGGATTGACTAGATTTAAGATTTTATATAAACCAAAGAGACATACATCATAGGTATATATACATTAAACATAAAGTACATAGAAAAACATTTTGAATGAACCAAGTTTTGAATAAAAAAATATATAATTAATTATGAATAAATAAGGCATTTATCAATCCATAATTTCATTTCTTAATCTTTTTGCAAAACATACATTTTTTCCAAGATTAAATATTTCTTCTGTATCAGAGGTGGACAACAGTTGTGTTAGAGATGTCTGTTTTTATAATTTAGTTCAAATCTACATACATGTAATTTCAAATGGAACATCTCATAACAAGAAGAAATTCAAATACCTCCAACTTCTTGTAAAAGTTAAGAAGTTATTGGTTGGTGAGGAACTACCAAAAGGAATAAAATCATCCGTTCCATCCAAATTAGCATTTCCACAAATCCCTTCAATATTTCCAACGTCGAAGTAAGATGGTAAAATATTGATGGAATAAAAATGGGATCCAGAATACCAATAATTCAATTCTGTACCTGTTGGCAGGGAAATCTAAAACATAATATCCCTTGATTGTATTGAAGTAAAAAATGGTGAATTTTAGGTGTACATTATTATTTAATGATTTGACAAAAAACTATCAAATATACGTACAAAGAAAGGTATATGTATTTTTTTTTATATTTTCATATACAAATTAAAAAATAAGACAGGGGGCTTATTGCTTACTGTGACGGAATAGCCGGTATCCTTGATGTCCATGTGCTGTTTGTCACACAGTCGAAGAATTTTTGTATGGAAGCCAAAAGATTGCAGGAATGTGTTTGAAATTATGGGACAGTGATGATGGATGTAAATAGAGTTTTCCACACGGACTGCTATACCACAGGAACATGATCCCAAAAAACATCGTCTAGTCATTACATGAATCTACAATAAATTTTGTTTTGAATCAAGATATACATATGAGAGGGTCGTGCAATAAATGATGCATGGTGCCATTTCAAAAATAAGATAAAAGCATACAAAACAATCTATGTATTTTTTTCAGTCCTTCAAAGTTTTCCTAGTAAACATATACGCATTTCCAAAGTCTTTCCATTCGTCATCAGAACACCTCAGCATACACTTTTGAGGAATTTCTCAAAATACACTGATGAATACCACTCTTCGGGACATACGTCAAATTGCATTCTTCTTTTGACTGATTTTTGAGAAGTTTTGAAATAAAAAGATATCACAATAATTAAGATCTAGAAAACACGAAGATGGCTAGGCTCTTTAAACGTATTTCTTTTCACAATCCCTTGTACATTTTATCCTTTTTTGCAGCAATCTTCTTGCGCACACAAAAAAATGACTCAGAGATAGATATTTTGACTTTCTATTACAGAAAAGCTGCTAAACCTTCCTCAAAGTGATTTTACATGCTATATAAACACAATCAGTGATGATCCTTCCTCGTCATGTAGTTTCGTGTCATTTTGTACGTCTTTACTAAGGAGGAGACGACGTGTATAATTAAAGCAATTTTGGAGCAGTGGCTTCTCATTGTAATAATAACGACAACTTAATCTCTTATTCCATTTTCTCTAATTGTTCTTCCTTGAGACAATTTAAACTGCGCCAATGTTTTGACAAACATCATCCATACCCTATTTGTATTTTAATTTATCAATGGGGTTATTACGAAGGTTTAAGGGGATGAAGGATGTATGGTCACGTGACTCAGTTGATTTACGTCATAATATCTGATAAAATATGTACAAAACGAGATTGAAACCACAGTGCTTGTATAATTTTTTTGACTGTTTGTTTGCGTTCACCATCTAGTATAAAAATATCTGAAAACATTCAAATTTCTTGCAAATATTATCAAATTACGGAATAGATTAATCCACTCTGCCGTTTCCCTACTCTGCGCGTCCAGTGCGTCTTTGACGTCATAGTGGATCTCTTAGTTCAGTAAGATCATACACGGTAAAAACGGGTAGTATGAAATCATAAAAACGGGCCATAATATGTAATGGTAGGGTATTTTGTAAATTTCAGAACGCAAAAAATATTTTTACATGGTTGTTGACGGAAAAGTTCGGTGGGTTTGTCTTATTTCGCTTATTTCAGAAATGTGTGACGTCATAGTTGGGTTTTCCCGTACTCGAGAAATGTAAACATGACACGTTTTTCTCATGATCATGACTCGTTTAACTTTGCCCCGTGCAATATTGAGCTCAGCTTCACCAATCGATATTTTTACAGTTAATCAATACAATGACGACCTTGAACTTCGACGTAAATTTTCAAATATTGAATGATAGGATTTCTTGCAAATTAATTTTTTTATGGTTTAATATGTCCTAAAAAAGTCGTAAATTTCCGTCTCCAGATGTGGTGTTACAAAAGAATCTTGCTTTTTCGAATTATTAACTCTATTCGTACTCTAAAATATTTTAAAAGACACATTTCCGCTGGTATATTTTTTATCTATGGTGAAAAATTTCAATTATCGACCGAGTAATGGACCCAGAAACACGGAGAATAAAATCTCCGCTCAGACACTGTGGGGTATGGTGTTTGTCACTCAATATCTCAGAAATAATTCTAGAAACCTATTGATATGTCTGCTTTATAGTATGTAGGACATACTAAATAAGATATATACAAAATATGAAAAAAAATAAATTATTTTTTCAGCTAAAGGTCCTTCATCCCCTTAAGTCTTAGGCATTTGTTAGTAGATTTTGCACTTATCTGTTTTCAAAACTTTATAAAAATGATCATAATGGTTTGAGTGTCTAACATTTGTCTTTTAAAGCAAATCTGAAATTTAAAGATCCCATGCCACTGATAACACCTCATTTTTTGTATCTCTATAAATTTTGATCGACAAGATAGACTGCAATCTTGTAAAATGCTTTTCTTTATTTGGGATTTTTTAAATCCATCGAAACAGTGTAAAGCGTATGATATTTTTTTTCAAGATATCAATACTAAATCCTACTTATTGATATTGTTTCTTCATTAAATGATATAATGAACCAACGTTTACATATACAACCTTTTTATTCTCTTAGCAGAGAACACTTTTTATGAGTCTTAATTTTAATGTAGTATCCAAGCTAGATTATTTTACATGTGAATTTCTCTGCAAGGACTATTACTTCTAAAATTTCAAAATACTGAGCGACCCTCCAATGACCAAGATATTCATAAAACAATAATAAACTGACATTAAGGCCACTGTTTAAAATTATCATCTCCAAAAATGGGCATTTAATAATAATAATTTTAATGAATCAAATTAAGTGCAATAACAGAGGAATAATATCCATATTCAGTTGCATTACATTTCATGAATGACGAGGAATCGTCCTACATCCCTTTGCCTTTTGGTTTCTTACCTTGATGTTCCTCTTCTTGTGACTATACATGACAAACTCTCCTACATCATTAACACTTCCATGACTTCCGTCAAATGTACGTAATCTTGGATCTGTCCAGAATTTACAATATATATGCCGAATTGTAAAGTCCTTGTCAGACACATAAACCTAAAAGTAAATTTTTAAAAAAAAAATCGTTAATATATTAAGGATGTCACAATTTTAATGGATATTCCAATAGGCTAAAACTGGATCACATGATCAAGTATAAAAAGTATTATAGACTGGATGTTTCTTTTTTAAAAATTTAGAAACCTGCTGTTTCTAAAATTGGAAACGTTCTTCTGTGAAGTTACAAAAAGTGCTAATGTCACAAAATATAGTCTATATACTAGATGCTTTTAAAAACAGATACTGCAACTGGTATTCATTACTATGACGTCATAATGCAAATGACATAACAATACCTTATATGAGAAGGACTGAGTATAAGAAAGATGGATTTTAAAACATTTGTATAATATTCGAATATTCGATGAATTAAATACTTCCTGCTCATAATATAATATGTATCTATTTGACCGATTTAGTTTAATACCTTATACAATTAACAAGGGTTCTTTTACACAGTATCTTGAAGTTTGGTAGAAATGTATGTCTTAAATTATGTTCAAGACAGAAAGGAATTCATTTAAAAAAATTTTTTTTTTGAGTTTCTGCTTATATAATAAGCACTATTATTTGCAATATAAAAAAAATACTTTCTACGAAATTGCAGAAATAAGATATTACATGTTTTTAATATCATTTATATGTAAAAGTTCTGCGAAACATTTTACCCATCAAAAACAAATAAAAAAAAATACTTAGTAAAATAGGGATATGGTTTATTTGATTTATCTAAGGTAATTGTTTCTTCTTGTTTTATGTCACCTTGATATCTGGCATCGTTATGTTGTCCCAGACACGCGACGGGTCCATGCCATTTGTGGTAGTTGTACCAAGCCTGATGTTGGTTTCTCGATCAGCTATATTGATAAGATTATCAACATTTCCCGTAACATTGAGTCTCACTGTGGAATTCCAGGACAAACCTTTTACCAAAATCCCGCAATGGTTTTCTTCGAAGGATATGACGTCACTGTTGGAGAAATTGGTACATTGCTGAATACTTGACTGGTAGATTGGAGTCAACAGATAGATAAGTCCGTCACAGCCACTTTGAAATGATTTTGCAATGCAACCGACAGGGACAGTTACATTGAAGTTTATTGAGATTGTCTCACTCTCCGCAACGATATACTCAGTCTTTTCGGGCTGTTTGAATTGTAAATAAAGTATTGAGTTACTTTCACATTATCGCAACTGTTAACAGTTTTTCTCTTCAACAGTTTTTTTTAACTCTATGACGGAAATTTTAATTGGCAATAGATTGCAAATAAGTTGTTGAATTGTTAGATTGACGTAGTTCTATAGTATTTTAAATCTAAATTGGGATCAATCATAAAAATAATGAAGTGTAACATTTAAAATCTTACAAATATTCCTGCATTAAAATCTGCGCTGTATTGATGTTTACCAGGGGCAACACCACTTGAGAAACGAACTCTGACAGAACACTTGACCTAAAATAAGAAAGGTACATTTTTTCAACGATGACAAGATGTCTACTTATAATACAAAATTTAAATTTTGAATGATATAGCACACAAAAAAAAAATTAGGTCATGTAAGCATATACCTTCATATTTAGGTCATGCCCATTTACCCAGTCTTCCGGGTAAAGCCAAAGCGATGTTGAGTCAAAAGTTTGGTTTCGGGTAACCTTTACCTTGTCTTCATCAATGAACCAATGGACGTCAAACAGATAACTGTCGTTCTTAGGTTCGTCGAAAACGCATTTGAACACAGTTATAAGGGAAGGATTATTCGGAAAGAAGGACGTACCTTCTTCTAAAGAGGTCACAACATTTGGGGTAACTGTTATGTTTGGCACACCTATACGAAGAAAAACATGAATAATGTTAGAATTTTTGATAGGAAATATATAGTTCTAACTATGTACAGAATCATTAAAGCTTGAATATTTGTCGTACACCACCGAAGGTTTTAAGCACTAATATATGTATCACTGTTGTAGCATAGAATATTTTGAAATTCATTCTGTTATTATTTAAGACACATGGATTATTTACTAGCACAGCCTGGGGAATATCCTGTCTCTGATCCAAAACCTTCTTCGCATTTTACTTTGTCTCCTACAAAAAAATCGAACTAGAGTGGTTGCTAATTGTTGCTTTTTCATTAAATTTGCATATTTTTTGGAGTCACGACACTCCTTCAGCAAGGACATTGTACGTAAAGCGATATTGGATTTCAATAGGTTCAGGTAACATTTTGCTGATTGTATATTTTTCCCTTAAACATAATAGCAATAGATAATAAATCATACTTATGAACACAAAACAAGGATGATCTTTCATAGATAATAGATTTAATGAGTTCTTGTAGACAACATTTACAAAACATGTATGGCTTACTGTTATTTACACCAGGAAGTTAAATTTGTTTCAAGTTTGGATGAAGACCAATAATTTAAAGGTCTATCTGCATATGATTTAGATCATACCTATACAATATCCAGAGCTCATCATATTTGTTTTGACGAGGTAATAAACTCTAAATTCTCCACAGTTTCGGATTTTTATGCCTAATGTAGAAGTACATTGTCCCAAAAAAGTCACCATGCATGCCGTTCTATTTACCACCCCTTCTGCGACGTTTGGAATTGTACCTAAAACCAAAAAAAAAATATTTTACCATCGCATATTATGCATTCATCTGTTCATTACATACGTTTGTTATAATTCAATGAATAACAAAAGAGTGAAAGTCACTTCCTCTCTTTCTGTGTGGGATGTGTTTGTGGGTGGGAGGGTGTGTTTGTGTGTGAGGGTGCTTGTGAGAGTGTTTATAGTTTGTTTGTGCACGTTACCCTGTAACCAGATCGGATACATCGTTCCACATGACAACAAAGTCGGTGCTGTGAGAGGCATGTCATTCCCGGCCTCACTTTCAAATCTGTACCAACCATCTGACATAAAGTTGTCAGAGATTGAAGTCTGTTCGGGAGTAAGCAAAACCCCGATAGATCTTCGGACTTCATCTTTCTTCAATATATAAGTTGTACATTCATCTATTTAAAGAAAAAAAGCAATTTTTGATATCTTTGTTTTAGATGGCAAAATGTCATGTGATTGTAATAGTAAGATGAAATGCTGTTTTTTCTTTTTTTGAAATATGAAAAAGAAACTGAATTAAAGAATTCCTATTAAGTTTCTGTACGTATGTAGATTAACACCTTATATATTACGGTAACCTTCAAACTATCACGTACTTTTAGATTTACCATAATAGGTGGCTAGTATCAACAAATCGTATTTACACTTTGTAAAAACTAGCATTACTAGTAAATTTCTAGCCTTGCCATTTATTTTAAATAATTGTATTAAATTATACTTCTTGTAAGCAATTAGACATGTTAAAAAATTTGATTTAGGAAAGCTAAATGGAGTCATGGAATATTTACAATTATATGCTTTTTTATTATTTTAAAGATATTATTTTCTGATCTATTCTTTTATAACAATACAAGTAAATCAAATTGTAGCTTTAGCGAATTTTAAATGAAGTAGCGGATATATTTACCGGGTATATCTGAGACGCTCGAAAGTTTCAAATGAATACTTATACACATGTGTATACAAACAATTTCATTTTTACCGAAAATCAATTTCCCTTTATTTTACTCAAAGTCGGGAAAAAAAACTATCAGCTTTGAATGAACACACAAAGCAGACAACAAATCCTTAAATGACATCGCGTACAACTCCATATGAACAAAAATTATTAAAAATCTGATGAATCAGAAGGAGAAAACACATGCTGTGGCCTTAAATTTAAGATTCATATTCATGTGAACTAATAATAATATTGTAGGTTAAACAAAATTCTAGTTTCTATCCATATAATTATATCGATTTAATATAACTTTATCATTTACAGACAAAAAGGGTTTATTAAAAAAACTAAATTTATGTCAAATGGAATGATTTCAAATTCTGCTTTGTCAATTTTACTTTTTTATGCACTTGAGTCTGCTGTCACTGCTTTTGGTTTACCGCTTCCAATATTTGATTTTGAAAAGCAGGATCTTTTAAACTACAGAAGACTGCTGACAAATAAATTACTGTAACCCTGGCAATTTATCAACTTAAGTTAACGAAAGTTATATTTTTTTATAATGACCCTCTGGGCAAATTTAACCCTTCCTTCAGTTGTGCGTGTTTTTTACAAATTGAAGGCCTTTGTTTTTTTTCTAAATTTGTCAACAAAATGTCTACTTGATCAATAATTAAGGGCTGACTGTGGGCGATTTCGGTCGACAGGGGATGATTATTCTTTTAAGTCCTGACCTCACCTGGAATCTCTAGGAAACTATCTGTGTTTTGTTTCGAGGAATTTTAATTTCCGCTACTTTGACATCTTTCAAATCATGGTATTGTTTGGGTGGAAATGTGTATGGATTGAAAACAACATTTACATCATCAAAATTTTTCTTATTACGGCAATTTAATAACAATCCAAAAGAGCTTGAGTTTATATTTTTTTAAAATTTGCATCTTACTTTAAAATTCCTCTTAAACAATCATGTAAGATAAATAAAGAATCACATATATAAAATCAGTGATTAATAATTCTACCAAAAACAGCAAAGTGATGTATAGGTTTCTTTATCTGCAGGTCTCCAGCTGAACCATGTGCTGGTACCCTTACTAGTTCTTTGTCAAGTGATTTTACCGATAAAATTCTGATAACAATGCTTCAATGTACGATATGTAACACAATACAAATTTTGAAAAACTGTCCTACATCGTTCAAAACAAAACTTACTATTTTTGCCATCTTTTAATTTTTACCCATCCCCATTACCGTTGTAAATATCTGTTTTAATATTAAAATTATTCTTGATATAAAAAGATTTTTTGAAGTTGAATACTATTGTTTTGTTTTTGTTTGTTTGTTTTGATATTGAGAGTTCGAAATATTGATCAAAGAATTTTTTTATAATAAAAAGACTGTAGGAAAACTTAAATTTTCTTCATGAATCTAATTAATCATTTTAAAACCTGTTCTTTTTTAATGACATGACAAAAAATCATAATTTTTGTAATTACTGACGCTCAGTTAATTCAAATTTAAGACACGACAGGGGTGTCAAAGTTTTTTTCATAGTAAATAAAATTATAGAAAATTTTAGTATAGTTCTCTAAAATCAAAGTATCAATTTCTCCCCTTTACATTTTTTACCAAATTTCATATCTCTATACATTCCAATTCTTTCCAATTGATAAAAAGTCTTTTTTCCAAAAAGAAATATTACTTGAATGAAATATTTACATGGAATCTTATAGATATCAATGTTATTAAGTATTAAATGTTTCCTTGCTAAAAATTAATGTATTTTACTTCCTATCATCCCAGTATATTTTGAATAACTTACTTGAGTTTACTACTTGAAAATAGAGAACACATAACAAAACCAGTTTCCACTTGATCAGCTTGCGGCCTTCGTATTTTAACTCCATTATTGAAAATGCATATTTTCAATAACTACTTGTCTTCAGGACTGATCATTTTAAACACAAACCTTGGTTTAAATACTTAGTCGTGTCCTTGAAAAATTTGTAAATCAATTGAACTTCTGCAAAAAATAACAAAACTACATACTAACTGATAGGTTTTGTGGTGTAATTTGTCTTTATTTCATTACCATAGTACAATGACATAAAACAAAATGGAAAATATTCTGTTTCAGTTTCTCTTTTTATATGTTTTACCAGTGTTTTCAATATGTTTATCCAGCACGACTACATGTATTACTGATCGATGAGGACTGACTAACAATATGATGAGAATGTTCTACTTTTCATCTGTGAGATTAATAGATTAATTAATTATTTTACATTATTTAATTCACAGAAAAAAATTTATTGAATCAACTTTTTTTTTAAATCAGGGATGATTTCGGGAAAGAACAAGATTGTCAAAATTTGCAGCGTCCAAGAATCCATAGCTACAGTTTTAACATTTCTTGATTAAGAGGTTTATATTCTAAAGCAAGTTAAGATATTGGCAAACAACTGATGAAACAAGAATATCAGTAATCTTATTTAAAGTTATAATTTCGTTAGCTGTATGTTCGATACAATGACCTTGTCAGCAAAAAGAATGTTTCAAATTTTGACATACGTTTTTCATTCTAACTGTTGGACCATTATTTACACACTGAATGATAGTATTTCCTTTATATATCATATATGATCGATTGCATGACTTCCTTGGCATGTTCCATCTCTGATGTTTTAATCCAAAATTTTATTCTTTAATGGATGTTTGAATAAGAAAATTCCATACATGTATATGCCTATATAGCCACATTTTAATGATACCTCATGAAACATATAATGATAATCCATGGGTTTATGTTGAAAATTAAAGAAAAAGAGTTTAAAAAGTGTCTTATGTAAAGATTTTAAAAATAATTATAAAAATAATTAACGCTTATAATATTTTTTTAAAGGTCATGACGGCACATTTTTTTTTTTATATTTTTAGACAAAAGTGATGTTAAATGTCAATACGATCACTGCCAGTTTGAAATCTTATACATGTATTTAATTTTTAACAAGAAATTCACTAGTTGCAAAATTGAAAACTTCTACAAAGGGGCTGTTATCAGCAAATAGCACAAAATGTGCCAATCAACTCATAAACACTAGATTTTTTAAGGAAAAGAAATACATGTTAGATATGAGCGACTTGAAATTGTTACTCTGAACATAATCTACTAAAGGGTTTTACGAGTAAATGTTCAGAAAAAGTGTGTGCTTATCTATTGCATCTTTGTCTTTGGTTTTCTTAACGAACATGGTTTTTATATAACAAATTCATGATATCTTGTATTGCAAATAGGCTCTGCATGCACTTTTTAATATGATTATCTTCGCATAATTGTTTTAATGAATATATTAATTCTTTTAAAACGAAAAATTAGTACTTTGATATTTTAAGATGTTTCAATGACAAGGGATTTTAAGAAATGAAGTAAATTGTTCTATTTATTTGCATTACTTCCGGGTCTGACAGAGACGAGTAATTGAGTAAAGCTATAAAAAGACAAAATTGAATAGGCTCCAGTAATTGATTATCTTCTAGATACGTTAGAAAGAAAACAAAACCTGTACATAAAGGATCAACTCTAAGCCTCAAACCTAAATTGTAAACCGATTCCTATTTATTCATATAGTTCTCGTGCACATGTACCTAACATCTGATATTTAAAGACCAAAGCACATTGAAACATACAATGGTCTAAAATATATAAATCAAGTACTTGTGTTATACGAATAAAGTGTTTATCGTTAAAATAAAGGCATATTATTTTCAATTTAGTGTGTATTTAAACCAGTGCATGTCATTTTGAAGCATTTTATTAGGTGGCTTAACTGGATACATCTGTAGAATACGCAGATGAGTTGTTAATGCTATTTATGTCTTGCAAATTAATAGATGGGCTGACAACACCACAGCATGGTCTGCATTACAACAACAAATGACCCATCTTATAAAGAATTTGACGTAGAACAGAAGGAAAGAAAATTACATGGTCAACAAATATTTAAATCAAGTTCATAAATCTTATTTCAAAGGTCACACTTCTCAAAAACTGTCTACGGACAGTCCCGACCCCATCCGCTTTCTAGATCAGCTCAGTTATATCATGCAAATGATTGATACAACATATACTTTTTCAGCAAATGTACTGTTTTAAAACAATTTAGTTGTGACAAGAATATCTATTTCTTCGACTCTGGAAATATTTTTGCAGATATACAGTTAAAATTATGTTCTTATACAGATATATATCGCGGCTTAAAGATACTCATAAGAAAATATATATACATGCACGTTGTTTAACTCGATCGAAAAACACAATTTTGATAGTATCTTGTAAGTGGATTTATATTTCAGAAGAGTATAATTTCTTTAAATGCAATGAATTCCAACTTGAAATTAAAGATACCACAGAGTCTACATCATATGCTTAATATTTGGATATTTTATGAGAAAAAAAGACTTTAATGTTACATGTAACCTAACAACAAAGTAAAGCTGATCCCTTCAACTTTCAATGATGTAGGAATATACTCTTGTTGTCTGATAAATCGATTTTATTCTCTCATTTGTGTCGATACACAAGAACATGTACGATCAATTTCTAAAACAAGGCACGTTATTACTTTATGTAAAGGTTGTACTTGTAAGGATTTTCCCGGTTTTTTTTTAAGTATGACCAGAGGCACAAGGTGGATGTGATTGGTCGGCATGGGCACTTACTCATTTATGGTATCCGATCCCACCACTGAGGTATTAGAGGATCGTGTTTGTTCTGCTTCTGATTTTTATTGTTGAATGCACCTATATGGTCTTCAATACTGTTCGATATTTCCTAATTTCATTGAATATTTTTTTTAATCAAATCTCAATTACATGATAAAATAAGATGGATATTTTAATTTTACGTATATTTTTTTTTCGATCGTACATTGAGCCTTCTTTTCAACTTATTTGCACACAACAACATACAATTTTTTCTAATATTACATCAGTCATATGGCAGAAAATAGAATCACTCTACATTAAATGATGTCAGTACCATAATAAATTTGATATTCACATCTATGGCATCTAAGTGACAAAGAAATACAGTTTTACAAGTTGAATAAGAATACTCAATAATGAATTACCGGTAATCGTGTTGTTTAGGAAAATCAGCACTCGATCGCCAAGTCAACTCATACCTGTCCATATAAATAATGGTTCTTGAATATAAAATTAACCAAATAATAGGACCAGTTACTTGAATCGTAGGGTAAATAATTCTTCTCCAAATTTTTTCATTGTATTATTATACTTTAATGATTATTTTTATTATACTGTTTGCTCAAAGAAAATTGAGGTACCTTATCAAGCAAAATACAAAAGGGAAACATTATACCTATTTAAAACTAGTTGAAATAATTTGAATTGTCAAAATTACAAGTTTTAGGGTCTTTTTTAAAAAGATCCTAATTAAAGTGTAGGAATTACAAGAAAATAATTATACCATATCTGATTTTAATTTGTATATGTATTACGATGATAAATCTTTTATTATAATCATCCTGGTTCAAAATCGCAATCTAAGGCATAATTAGAAGAACAAAGAAAAGGGTTAAAGTGTGTATGCTTTTTATTTCTTTTAATATAAATCAAGATTGGCAATGTCTGATTAAAAGAAAAAAGAAAAAAATATCTAAAATATTCATTACAAAAATTACTGCAATTCTTTTAGAACTTTGCTACAGAGTGCTCTGAGTGTATGCATCCATTTTTTCTTAACTATTTATATCTAAAAATCATTATTTTTTTCTCATTGCAATATCGTATTAAAAAAAAAAGAGAAAACAAAAAAGACTGATAAATTAAATATCGTATAAAATGAGAAATAGTGAGAGGGCTAAAATAGGCTTTGCCTGCTGCCCAATCCCATTCACTTATGTGAATAAAATTTTGTATAAATAAAAAAAAATTAAATGATAAATATTGTTATAATCATGTAAATTTCAGAGATTTTCAGAATTTTGTATTTCCAGAATACGAACTATCTCTGCTATGATACATTATGTAAAAATTATACAGTTGTCTAAAATGAAATATGTAAATTCCACATGTATTATACTTATAAGGTGTGTAAAAATCCACGACATGCAAAACACCAGAAAGGGGTCTAAAAGGTTAAAATGTGTGCTTTTGTTTAATTCACAAACGCTGAGCGCAATGGAAGTACAACGTCATCAGCGAAAATCAATAGTTTACTTTCCGTTACATGCTAAGGCGCATTACTTAGTTTCCTCGAATATATACACATACTGTTGCAGATATGAGACTATATCTTCATAAAATATCCAATAATAAAAAATATAGCTGTTAGTATCATGACTATAATTATGAACATACGTATAAATAAATGGTATGAATAAGCGGTACGAATGGACTAACAAAATTTAAGGATAAAGGCGAAGAAACTATATTCTGTGCTTCTTTAAACAAAACAAATTGTTAACCGGTTGAAATTTAGACTATATGTATTTATAAGGGCCTTTTCGCCCCTATCTTTCTAGATACAAGAGATTTAAGACGGGGGCAAATTCAAAGAATTTTAAAATCTTAAAATGGGACAAAGTTGTTTCCCAGTGTGAGAGGGAGAAAATATTTTGGGGCGAAAATAACTCCGTATTCAGTAATTTGACATTTCCATTTCTTCGTTTCTTCCGATATTTCAAAATATAATTTCAAAAATACAGTAAGGCATTTCATAACGCAATCAAAGATCCTTCCTATGCCAGTTATCAACATTACTGAACGCAGTTGGTAGATTTTTCAAGCTGCCATCATTATCTGTCGGACTTGTTTGTTTAGGCGAAACGTTTTCTGCATGATTCATCACATATGGTAGTGGTCTTTTAGCCGCTTTGCTTTTCGAACAGGATTTATATAATGTAACCGAAAACACGATAGCCACAATCAAAATCACGATTCCAGTTCCAGATATTATTGACAGGAATATTGGTGATGACTCCAACTAAAACAAAAAATAAAAGTTCTGTTGGTTGTTTTATCGGATGTATTTTAATTTGTTGAAAACAAGAAAAACATGTTTACTCAAGTCTAAGTACAGTATAAGTGGTAATTTTAGCGAGACGAAAATTCAGCAAATTCACCTTAGACGTTCGTATTTTATCTTTAGCACGATGTTATTAATGCAATTTTAAAATGGTCACTTAAGAAGCTATAACAAATAAAACGCAATTAACTTATAACAAAATTCAATTTTAGCGATCTTATAACCCTTGTTAATAATGCCAAAATTAAATCCTGGCTAAAAATCGGTAATTACAAAACATATTTAATTTTTCCAAAATATACCTCATCACTGTTGTACTTCGATGTTGGTGTTGTCTCCATGTAGGTTTGAGTTGATTCAGATAGTACAGTTGTTTCTGCTGATTTCTTTGTTGAAAATAGTTCTTCAGTTGTTGTTGATGGACTCGTAGAAGTGTCCTTCTCAGTAGTTTTGGTAGAACCTTCGTTGGTAGAATCTGATGATATTATTTCAGTCGATGTTTCAACTTTGATTGTAGTCGTCAATTCCTTTGTCGTCGTTGACAATTGCGTAGTCGGTTTATCTTCGTCTTCTGTTGTTTTTTGTTGAAAAGTTGTTGCTGTGCTTTCTTCAAAAGCTGTAGATTGAACAGTAATTCCAGCACCTGTCGTTATAGAAACGGTTGTTGTTTCTACGAAGGTGGCCTGATCAGCTGTCACTTTATCTGTGATTGTGCTTTTTTCAGCTGTTGTTTTTTGATTCATTATTGTTGTCTCTTTTTCTGTTGTGATATCTTCTTCAGTGGTTACCGCTGTTGTCTGTTCATCTGTTGTTGAATCCGTTAAAGTTGTGTCCACGAACACTGTTGTGGTGGCTAGATTTTCCGTTGTTATTTGTTCAGTATTTATAGAGGTGATTTCCTGTGAGTATATGTATTCACATGACTGTAACTCATATAAATATCGAAATTTCTAAGTACTTTAAAAACATTTACGTTCATTACTTTGTTTGAAATAGCATTGCTAATTGGCGATGCACAAATCTTACATCCGAATGGTTTTGATTCATTTTAATTCATATTTTAAAAGTGTAAATTCTAATAATTAAAACATCTTGATATTTTTTTTTTAAAACGTTGGCTAAACATACTATTGAAAAAACCCATCTTTTGATCATTTTATTCATATTTTAAAGGTAAATTTTGCCATATAAAACATCCACATATGAAAACACGCCTTTCATATGAAAATCGTATGTGGATCATAATAGAATCATGTGGATCATATGAGAATCATATGTGGACCATATGAGAATCACATGTGAATCATTTGAGAATCATATGTGGATCATACGAGAATTATATGTATATAAAAACATATGAGAATCATATGTGGACCATCATATGTGGATCATATGATTACACATATGTTGATCATATGAAGTAATATACATATCATTCACATATGAAAGGCAATCCATATGTGAATCATATGAATATTTTGACAGTGATCATATAAAAATCATATGAAACTGTTCACTAATTTTCCCTTGTAATATGAAAATTGCACATATTTGGATCATATGGCAAGTTACATTTTTTGAAAACATATCCAAATATTTGTCCAGAAGGTTGTTATGTTCATCCCAAAAGTTGACATCTTTACGAGAGTAAAAGCGTGTTTGATATTACAGACCATGCAATCATTTACATAATCAGACAATCACAGCCTTCTGATACGAATGTATGCACCTTACATGATGGACAGAAATTTTTTTTACAATTTAGAATTCACTATTTTGTCTTAAGCTTCTTTGATTAAAACATACCGTTGTTGTTTCTGGTTCCACAGCCACAATTGTACCATTTGAAAACACAAAGTCACACTTAGCAAAAAACCCATCATCGTCATATGCGTTGAGTTGAACAGATTGTACACAACAATGTCCACTAAAATCATTAGAGGAAGTCTTATAAATTCATTTCTCTTTTTCCTCTTGAAATAGCTTGACATTTACCTATATTAGTATATTTGTTTTATACATCACAAAGTCACCATAAGCAATATCTATTATTCCATTTTGAGTCAAGTTAATTCAGTTCAAGTTGATCTGAGTTATAAAGCAGCTAGACATAATCTTGCTAGTTTCTTACCTGATATTAACATTCATGCTATTGTTTGTATTTGTTATGTTTTCATATTGAATGTTGACGTCATTGTTTGAAGCAACAATCTGGGAAGGTTTTATCAAAGTGAATGATATTTCTGTTGATCCACTCCATCTATAGTCGTCACAGGTTTTGGTTGTCAAGGACTCCTCAGGACACTGAGGTGATTGGTCAGTGATTTTACATTCAAGGCGCTGAACATCAGATATCTACAAGAACCACAGCAAGGCTTTAGCATTAAAATAATGGAGCGGGCCCCGCGTGTCCGGTAATGCCAGTATAAGCTGGGTTTAACTATGACTTCTTAAAATTTAAACTGAATGCACTTAAATTCTCACAAAATACTGATCTACGACATTCATATCAATGTACAGCTCCAAAAAAATATGCAGATTAACAAAAAAAACGGGAAAGTTTTATTTAAGCAAACAATGGTTAACTGCCTTTTGAAATTATGTCTTCCCAAAATATATCATAAAATTTGTCCTATTTTGTTTAGAATTCATTACATTCCGTTCAATTATATGATTTGAAGAGATGATAACTGTAGACCTACATAATACTTCTTCGATTCCATTTGCAAAACTTCTGTTGAGTTCCAGAGGAAAACAGTCAGTTGAACTTTCCTGCAAAATCAGTGTAAAAAGTTAAAAAATATTTGCATTTTGAAAATTGTTCCATTTTTACCCTTGAAAATTTCATTTTTAATATAACCTACACTGTAGATCCGCTGTCGGTTCCATTTAAATTGATCGTATTCACTACAGTTTCGCCAGCTTGAAGATGTATTGTCGTGCTATTCGATGATACTAGGAAACCCTTGTCGTCAGTTATGTTGACTTCAAAATTGGTCTCAACATTGCCGGTATTTGTCAGTTGATACGATATCGTTTCTTCTTTATTCAGCTGAAGATCATCTAATGAAAGTCGATGAAAGCATCATTTACGTGTATGTGTCCATTTTGTTCAAATGCTTCCATAAAAGTTTCTGCTCAATTCCAGAATTAAAATTATGTCACATTATTCGAAGAACATAACTTACTTGTAGATGGAAGTATCTTTAATCGAACACCAACAGGCGTGATGTCAAAACGTGTGACCCTAGATATCATATTTCCTGTTGCATCTGTACCTTCTATCTGTATACCGCTAACCTTGGTTTGTTTAGGCCATAATAAAAATATTCCTAGATTCTCATGAATACCGCCTGATTTTTTTTATTTCTGTTTTTCTTGTCTTTTTGTTTATCTACCATTCTACTTTCGTTTAATCCCGCGAAAGTCGACATGATTTTAAAAAAGATGGTATATTGCTGAAAAAGCCATTAATATTTTTTTAAACAATTTTGGTTGAAAAAGAACTGTGATGATGTGAAGTAAGAGATAATTAAACCTTTACTATGACTTTTATTCGGGTATTGTAGATAAAATTAAAAACATATATGCAAAACAGGAAAAAATATATATATAAAAAATTACCGCCTCGATTTTTTGGTCAACAATTTGTCATTACGGCCTTAAAAGCAAATTTTGAAACAGTCTGATGGCACTTGAGTGAGTTCCAAACTGGATATTTTTGACCATTTATCATCCAAAAGGAAAGCCCAGTTGATAGAAGCATTTTTTGGTAAATTTTGAACATCCACAGCTAATGTATAATTTGAACCTTTTAAAATTAATAAAAGTAATATTCAAATTTGAGTGCTCTTCTCATTTAGAGGGAGAGACAAACACAACCTGAAAAAATTATAAAAGTAATGTCAACTTTGTTCAAATGTTCTTTTCATTGAAAGGGAGACACAAACTAGGCAGTATCCATTTAAAATTTATAAACATTCAAATTTGAGAGGTTAAAACTCTTCTCATTTAGAGGGAGAGACAACACATTAAAATGGTTCCTTTTAAATGGTTCCTATTGTTTTGTGAAACAAAATAACTATTTTACAAATTATGGAAAAAAGTAATGTACAAGAGAGGGGAAACCAAACAAGAGAATTGAAACTTACAGTTTCTTTCAAGTTTTCCATTGCACGCCGCATTTAACCAAGAGTTATTTTTTCTTAAATATATGTTTATTTGAGTACTCTTCCCAAAAAATAAAATAAAATAAAATAAAATGAACTAAATCCATCATCCAGTAAAGAAGGTGAAGCTAACAAACAGTGTATGATCGATCGTGAAATTTTTAAACGATACATATCTGTGAGAAGGGTATAAACGGACGAACTTGTGGTAATTCCAGAAGAGGAAACAGGTGCTTAGATGGGGGGGGGGGTAAGCATCCCCTGTCGACCAGTCACGGCTTGGTCAGCTGTGGTCGAGGTGCAATTCGATCACGAGACTCTGTGATGTTTTTAAATTTCACGTATATGGTATTATAAGTAATTAAAGAAAATACAATAATTCTTTGAAAATCTTACAAAATGCTTATTTTAAATGAAATGATATCTCTTTTGTATATCTTTGTAATGAATGAAAAATGTTCAAAATTTCAATAACATTCTGATTCCTAAACCAGATTGACGTTGTGTGAAAATGTTAAACGTTCAATTTGAAAATTATTTTTTTTCTTAAAAGAATTTTATATGTGACCATATACTGGTGAAGGGTCAATTTTTTTTGAGCTAACATGTTTAATTAAGTAGCAATACTGCCATTGAACTAGTGGAAAATTTTATATATTATCAAGGAACGTCTCATCTGTCCTTAATGGGGCAATTGTATGGAGCAAATGCTTTTTAAAATCTCATTAGAAATTTTGAAAAAAATTTGCTTCAAAGGAAAATAAAGACTTTTCACCCGAAGAAGTAAAATAAGTGCCTATTGCAATTAAAACAGTTTGCTGAAAGTTTGCTGAAAGACACGGCGTCAATTACAAGATTACAAATATTTTGCCATTCATCCTTTTAATATTAACTTCAGATTACTTTTGTGTAGGATATATATCTTAATATCAAGTTGTTGAATGCACCAGAACAGTCGACTTTCATCTTCATTAAAGTTTTTTTTTTATCGTTTTTGCTTCAAAGCAATAAAAAACATGTCAGCTTTTGAAAAAGGGTGCATATAATTTATGTAAATCCAAACTGTTTACACCTCTCTGAAGAATGTGTGCTTAAAAAATTACAAACATTTTGTCAATGAGTAAATCAAGCATTCTTTGAATATTGACTTCAGATTAGTTCTGTGTAGAATCAGTGTAATCAAAAGCAATTTTGTTGATGACTAATGACAAGATAGTAAATTTAAAAGTAACATTTTTTATCTTTATTGAAACAAAAGTTGTAAAATGTGAAATCAAAAGGAAAACAAGGACAATATTTAACAATCTTTTCAGTGAGAAATAATACATGTAAATTGTTAAGTCATACGTTTTGATGTTACAAATTTGAAGAAAATAAAATTTCTTTGTTTTCTATTTTTGAAAACACATAACATGAATTACACCTCTTCTGCAATAAATCATTGTGAACCGAAACTGTGAGCAGAAGTATATAAAAATTAAATTTTTGTATAGAGTTAAGATACAGGTTTGCCGTGTTCTTTTAAACATTGCTTGATAACACTGAACCTCTTTCTGCTGCTTGTTTGCCATAAACTGCACATTAACTTGATTACCTATAACTGGATTGGTGTAGACCTGGTATAACATCCCATCTTCGGCAGTCTCAAGAAGGTTTGCTGTGAAGTCAATTTCACTTTGTCCTGTTACATTTGTATCCCACGTGATGGAGTTGGTGTTTCTTTTAAGTGTCCAATTACCAGCCATCGGAGACTAAAGATAAAATTTCAAATTACTTTTCATTTTATCGGACATGAAATTGAATATATTTATCAACACATATAAATAACGCCCAAGAACAAATCAGTTAATTTAAATTAGTTTATTTCTGATCAAGGTTGTTAGTGTTTTGTCAATCGTTGATTATTATTGATTTAAGATTACATTTAACAACAACTACTCGTGATCCGCAACAATTTGCATCAAAATTATAAATAAGATATTTATAGCCTGTCTTGTTTATGTGAAGGGTTTACCCATTGAATAAAGCTATGTTATTACCAAGGATATATACATAATTTACGAATAAGTATTGTTTTTATTCCAATTCTTCCAATACTGAAAATAACTTTTTAATCAAAACTATGATTTCATTTTTATTAAATTGTGGTGAACTGGGATATTATTTGATAAAGTTCCAAATACATGTAATAGTGTGATTATAAAAATGTGTAATGATGAATGGCATCCTGGAAATTGAATTCTTTTATTGCTAAAACATCAAATTTCTAAGTTAATTAAGAAGATAAGAATATGATCCTGGTGAGCTTGAGATAAAAGATAAATTAGAGTCTGACACATCTTTTTCATATTTGGATATTTACTTGAAAAGGACGTTAATGGTAATCTAAAAACCAAGCTATATGATAATGTGATGACTTTAACTTTTCTATAGTTAAATTCCCTTACTTATACCGCAATATACCTCCATCACCTGCATACGGAGTGTGTATATTTCAGTTGATTCGATACACAAGAGCATGCTCTTAAACGAGGTAAACGAAGTAAACTGATGAAACAAGAATATCAGCAGTCTCTTTTAAAGTCATCATTTCATAACTTCTATGGTCGATACAATGACAAGTACAATTCATCATTGAGACAAATGCTGACTACCGTTTTTCATACTTTTTGTTACTCCATTATTAATACACTGGATTGACGACGGATTTTCCCGTTATTTCCAGATCATGACAAGGAGCACATGGCGGGTGTGACCGGTCAGCAAAGGATGCTCACTCCTCCATGGCACCTTATCCCACCTCTGATATTTCGGAGGTCCGTGTTTGCTGTGCTCTTATTTTGTGTTGTTTTATGGACTTTGATATTGAATACTGTTCGTTCTTTCCATATCCTTCCTTGACATCGTTTGTAGCTCCGTTGGAAATATCGTCAGTAATACAAAATAGATGTATGGAGTAAAGCTTAATCTATGTACTTCGATGCAACAGCGATGCATTTTAAGATTTAAAATGATAAATCGATTCAATTTAGGATATGAAAATATAATAAGTGTCCATGTATTCAGGTGTTTCAATCCTTAATGATTTGACTTGACTTTTTGTAAGATTATTCTATAGTAATTAGACATCATAAGTCAATTCTATTCTTATTTGTATTAGGAAATACATCTTAGATAAATAACATGTAATTCGATTTCTTTATCTATACTTTTATTGTGTATAAATTCCAATATTTAGTATTCCTTTTTCTGACTATAAAGAACCCTAAATCAAAATCAAATTAAATGAAGGAATAAGGTATTGTAGCGAAGAACTCAAGATTTCAATTTTAAATTTCATTCTATTTTTTTTTTGTTCTTAAATAATTCAAGGACCCTCTGTATACCACGGAAATATTTATAAAAAATTATATGAACTTTGGGAATTTGATATCGTTTACAGGATAATGTTTTAAAAGACAGCAAATTAATGTTTATTTATTTTGCTTACTCAAATGAAGAAAACTCAGGCATATGAAGTTCTCAACTATTCTATCTTGGTGTAATTATGTTTAAAATACTTGATTTTTTCATATGACATAAATTTCAGTAACAATATCGTCTATTTAATTTGAAATGGTTGGTGGGGGTTTTTTTGTTTTTGTTTTTTGTTTTTGCTCCTGACTAAGACGTGAATAACCTTAAAACATGTATCTGAATATACACACACATTAAAGGGGAGAACAACTACGACCAATCTAGAAAAAGATTTAGGCCTAGCTTTAAACAAACTACAAAAGAACCTTTTTTTCTTATTCAACAGGTATAGAAATAAGCTGAAGAAAAATAATTAAACCAAGCATTGTTTTTAGCAAATTTCATTTATTATGAGAATTACTCCAGCAAAATGTTTCATAAATGCATCAATTATTTTTCTGAAGTATTAAAAATTTGAAAAGAAATACCTGAATGAAAATGTTCATAATATTAATAATTGTAGAAATCTTTCGTTCATCTGTTGGGAAGGTCACTTCTGCATCTAAGAGTAGATATTTATATTTTTAACATGATAGAATTAAGTGTATTATCATGAACTCAAATTATACCGTTACAAAAAATATGAGGGCTGTTCAATAAATAATGTCTATAGCTCGATGATATACAACATAGCAATCATATGACATTAAGCTTGACTTTCTCTCATTATTGAATCTTTAATGAATTGATAACAGTTTATATGACCACTTTTCATCGCATTGTTTCATTGTGGGAAGCTGGAAAACAAGAGCTATTCGAGACACTATATTAAAATTGAATGGTAAAGAATCAGTAAAAGAAACATTTAAAAGTGTTTAAAAGGTTTAAAAGGTTTAATACTGAAAGTATATTTTGAAAACAATGAGTGAAAACGACAGCGTGTAGGAATATCTAAACAATTTTTTTTTTTAAATTAAAAATTGTACTTATCTAAGTGTGTCTGAATTTCAGACAGATTATGAAACTTAAATCCATTTTGCTTGAAACCCTCAAAACGAATTTACAATAATTTGTACTTGACAAAACAGCAAAAGCTTGAGAAGAGCAAAGAATTGTAAGAGCCAAAAACAGTTCTATAGGCTATTTTCTTAAATATTAGTGGTTTTCTTGTTCAGATTCCTATTCGGTGAGGAAGTTCAATTTCGGCAGAAGTTTAGAAAGCCTAATTTTTGCCCAAAAAATCGAAAGGCTTATGAGAGGAAGGAACCAGAATGAGGAATTCACTACATTTAAACTCTTCAGGTAAGCGTCCAAACCTTCAGGAAATGAAGAGTAAAAGAGTTTTGGGGATAAACAGAAAGTTAATGTTTTGTCACACCAACAATATTCGCCAGATCAGTTAACCTTTGACTTGTTTCATTTCCCGAACATAAAAAACACCTTTCAGAAAAAAGTCAATGAAATCGTAGAATCTGCTTTTTTCCAGTTAAGGAAGGGTCATATGTGAAAATGTGTTCTAAACACAAATAAAAACTGAATAAAAATGTTACGAACATATGTTTAAATTAAAAGAGAATATTTTAGTGAAATCATTAAGACAAAATCATAGAAAAGCGTTTTCTTTTTGTTTTTGGGAACCGATTATATTATTATTGAACAGCCCTCGCATACAAAAAAAGGTACATAAGTTACCGTTTGGGTCTTTAACTGTGATATCCGAATTTGCAGACGGTCCAGAGATCTGAATTATCAATGCCTTTAAGGAACTATCCACTTCTATTTTGAAGTCAGTTGACGCTGGTGTTACCCATGTGTACCACTTAATATTGACTATTGAAGATGGTAAGCTTGTCTGCAAAAAATGAAGAATAAAAATAATTACTCGTATTTCTTTAAAACAAATACATGTATTTATATTCTAAAAGGATCATGTTTATCCTTCATAAAGAGCTATCCGATTTGATATGCATTACCCCTCCCCAAATACAAAAACCACAAAAAGTTATTTTTATTTGTTTTCCGAGAAATCGTCTTTAATTTTAACAAAATAAATATAAATTATGATAGTGAATACTTGTGTATCTCCTATTCTCAGTTGTCATATTGTGATTGATATTTCAAGAAAAATAAATATATTACATTACAATTGTTAATTGCTCATGAAAGCAAATGTTTTAGGTCGTTTGTTTAAAGGGACAATTGGGTACATATGTACAATTTTTTTTATAATATTTGGTAATGCTCTTTCCAAGATATGCAGCGGTTTTTTCATCAGCAAAAGAGCCCATTAACTGCTTCAGCATTTATTAAAATGAGATTTTTTTTTAAAAAGGAAACCAAAATCATCTCTAATGTTATAGTAATACTTCAAGGGGCTTCCATGGTTTGCGATTGATTTGATTCTTTTTTAATTAATTAATTAATTTTTTTTTTTTTTGAACAACGACTTTTGTGTTTTCTATACTCAAGTCATTGCAAGGAAATAGAAAACACACAATAATTTGGAATCTAGAAATATATTCAAGGGACATGATTGTACGTCTTGCCCATGTCTAAATAGGAATACAACAGTCGATGGCGTGGCGCAGTGGGTAGAGTGTACGTCTTCTCTAGAGTCGCGAAATAAGGAGTTGATCCTTACGCAGATCCTACTGGGGAACGTGGAGACCGGTGCTTCGGACCATACAAACCGGATCCGGAGTCCCATGAGTTTTTACAAAAAAAATATCTCTCACTACAAATGGCTCAAGATTTCAAAAAAAACAAAGTATACATATGTAGAGTAACAATAACACTTACAATTGTATCTAAATCTGACGTTTGATGTTTAACAAATGAGGACAACATTAAAGAAAAAAATGTTAGTGAAGTTGATTAATTCTTTCCTACATGTGTCATAAATACATCAGCACAAAAGGTTATTTTTGGCAAAGCTTTACATATCTTTCTGTAAAGTGGGTCTGAGGAAAGTTAATATAAATAAAATATATTGATGTTGCTAAATATCACTTATCAGTATTTATCAGCCTTTGAAATTTGATAAAGATGTCTTGAATATATATTTTAATTTTAAACTGAACTAAGATCAAAATGTGACGGCAGAAAAAATGGACGGGTAAACGGAGAAGGACAAACACAGCTGATCCAGCCATAATCATCATGCTCTTGACGAGGAACAGAAAATCATATCCACTGCACGAGATTTTTTTATCACATGTTCCATTCAAAGCTATACATACATAATCCATTCTTTATTATTTGATCACACCCTGGTGACGTTACAAGTATTGATATGTAAGAAAAACTCATTCAACCTATCTTCAAGTAATTATAATTGCCCCTTTTCAAATTAGTGCACCTACATGAATATCCAAATGAATTGAAGATTGCTACTACAGTGTATTAAATTAAAGATAAAGTAAACATAATTATGTAGTTATTGATTTATTTGTCGATTTCATGTTAACTTGTGAAATAATTGAATATAATATAATAATTGAATATCTCCGTTATTAGAAGACCTATTTTTGTATTTATATGAAGCATAATTTGTACAAAATCTTGTACATGAAAAGAAGAACACACTTTCTGTGGCCTTCAAATCAACATTAAGATATACATACGACGTATTGTCAATTAATAATGGTAATTTTCATTCCTATGTCGTTACGATATACCATGAATCCCCGAGAGCTTGCGATAAAAGATACCTCAGAGTCTGACACATCTGTTTCAAACTTGGATATTTTACTTGAAAAAGACGTTAATGGTAATCTAACAACCAAGCTATATGATAAACGTGATGACTTTAACTTTTTCTATCGTCAACTTCCCTTACTTATGCAGCAACATACCTCCATCATCTGCAAACGAAGTGTATATATCTCAGTTGATTCGTTACGCACGAGCGTGTTCTACGTTTGAACAATTTCTAAAACGAGGTAAATTATTGACAAGCAAGTTGATGAAACAAGAACATCAACAGTCTAATTTAAAGTCATCATTTCGTAACTTCTATGTTCGTTACAATGACCTTGTCAGCAAATACATTTTATCACTGAGTCAAATGCTGACTGGCGTTTTTCATACTAATTGTAAGTCCATTATTTATACACGAATTGACGACAGATTTTTTTCCTGATCATGACAAGGAGCACACAGCGGTTGTGACCGGTCAGCAGGATATGCCCACTACTCCATGGCTGTTGATCCGACTTCTGATGATTCGGAGGTCAGTGTTTGCTCTGCTTCTAATTTTTATTGTTTTATGGACTTTGATAGTAAATATTGTTCATTATCTCTAAATCCATATGCAAGTAATAACATTACTCTTTTCGTTTTATTTCATGTTTGAGTAGAAGGACGTGTATTTCATATAGCAATAACAACCTGACCAACGAGATCGTCAGTCTACAACTTTGTTACAATGTTCAACGCCATAACTACTTCTTCATGTGCAGGTAACGTAAAATATTCCTCGTTGAATATTTAGTTCAGTTATTAGATTTAAAATAAAACATAAAAACTCAGTAATAGTTGTAATTTTGTACCTTTACTAGTTTTTCCACGACTGTCTCAATCTCTGCTGTACTTATTTTTACAACCTGGCCTCCTGTTTCGGCAGCTATATCTTCAAACACCTTATATCCAGTGCCCCTTTTCTGTCCTAAAAGTATATAAATCAGTAAGATTTAAAATCTTTTTTTTTTCTTTTCCTGCAAAAACGTCAAAATCATCAAAATATAATTAGAACCTCTACACAAAAAGACATTTTGCTGTCTTTACAATTGCAATATATTAACATCATTTTGTTTGTTAGCACTCACTATGTGCATCTCTTCGTTTTCTTGAAGTACAAGTGCCTGTGAGTATTAATTTAGATTCCAAAGACTTAGACTTCAGGCCCTCTATTACTTCTATATATTTGTCTTCGTCTTTGGCACCTGCATCAGTGGCAAGGAAAATCTGTGACCCCGGATTTGACATGTTGATTCCTGCAAAATGAAAAATGACCTTTTTAGATTTTTCCTCATCAAAAATACTTTTCTTTATTTTTGGATAAAGCATAATATAAGCTTAATTTCCAACATACTAAAAAAAATACTTATTTAAAACATATTAGTATAGTTGAATGATTCGGTCGCGGCAGAGAAATGATATATTTACAATACTATGCTGGCTTCATTTATGGATATTTCGCGCAAATTTACAGCACATTTCAATAACCTCGATTAAGTTTCGATTATTGACTTTTACGAATAGGCGTTTTCCTATATTTTCATTATTGGGAAAGTTATCGCCCTTTTCGTTTATAATTACTTATTATTATAAATTATGCATAAAAAATAAAAACTTAAATAGTGTTGATTTCGAAGGAAAGTTATCAATTTGCACCTACGAAACAAACCAAGTCTCACAGTGTGCAGATGCGTAAGCGGCAACAAAGAGCTGGAGAATTCTTTCAGAGGTAGCACAGGCCATTAGCAGACTTGCCAGCTTTCCAACTTCCAGAAAATCGGGAAACGTTGTTTAAAGACCCATTTCAGGACGTATTGGTTGACTAGGAAATGCGCATCCGCATTAAAAAGACACGTCCTTAACATCCTACTGACGCTATTCAATTGTATCTCGCATTAAAAGCTTACAACAGAACCGAGAAAAAGAACCATGCGTGCTCAACAACCGATGAACACTTGGAAAGAAGAACTGTCTCAATGCTTAAGAGATTAAGCGCAACGTTTAAAACTTTGCAGAGAGAACACAAAGAAATTAAAGCTCGGCGCAGTGAAAGCTGTGAGCTATCCCGACCAAGGGACGCAAATAGAAATTTTGGGACACAAATGCTACTTTTTGTCGTAAACCAGGACACATAAGCAAGAATTTCAGTGTTTTTCATGCGACAGGAAAGCTACATATCCGTTTAAGACCACTACTGCAGATCCGACAGAAAATCATGGTGCGAAGATCAGTGTCAAAATCGGTGAGAACACTTAAATTGGAGCAAGCCCAGTTGGATTGGAAGCTGGGATTTCATTCTAATGGGCATATGTGACATGAAGGCGAAGCTATTGGTAGACACAGGTGCGACAGCAAGCTTAGTATCTACAGAAACGGATGAGTAGGATTCCAGAAGAGGACCGACCTAGGCAATACACATGTACTGGATACTGCTGACAACTGTCTAGAGATACATGTACAATGTAAGCGGTAAGGGAACCTTTCGAACACAGATAAAGGGTTTCTCTTGATAACTGGATTGTGTGATTGTAATGATGGAATTATAGGCCTTGATTTTCTGGAAGATATACGATGCACAATTGATGTGTCAGAAAAGAATAATGTGCATTATGGGAAAACAATTCAACCCGACAAAAGAATGGGCTTATGGGTGTTATCACATTGTAGAGCTGAATTCGGTGAATGTATACGGTTAATATCTAGCAGCCTTATGATATGAAGTGATCATTTCTGAAAGCTTTTAAACTTAAAATAACGAAATCAAAGTAATGGAATACCTTACATTAATAATGAAATACAAACTGTTTTGTCCCCATTAGAGGAAAACGATAAATATATTAAAATGTTTAAAACTATTAGAGCAAAGATACGCGCATTAATAGATTTGTTAATTAAGATTGCATTAATTTTAGTGGTTTTGGCCCCATCCCTCAGGCCCCAGGGGTGCAGGGGTCATGAATTCACAATTCTATTCCCCTTCACCCATAGATGCTTTGTATTAAATTTGGTTGAAATTGGTTCAGTGGTTGCAGAGAAGAAGCTGAAAATGTTCAAATGTTAACGCACGACGACGGACGGAAAAGGATAGCAATAGGTCATCTAAAATAATGAAAGAAAAGATGAGCAAGCTCACATACTCTACGCTCCCAGAAAACTCACAGTACTGAAAATCCTGGAAAAAATAAAGGAATCGGAATATCCCGGTTATATGCTCATCTACACATTGTGTCCTTAATATCAGCAAAATTCTGTGCAGCGGTTTAAGAGGAGTGGTGCTTTCAAACTGTTCATCTCCTTATTCATGATATCTCCAAAAATCTAAGTTGAAAAGTGTGGAAATTCCCGGAAAAAATGAATAATAATATGCACAGAATATACACATCTACATATTGTGTCCTAAATATCTTCTGACGGACTGACTGACTGACGGACGGGTCAAAAACATTATACCTCACCCAACTTGTTGTGTGGGGTAAAATAATTATTCGAGAAAAACAACATGTTTTTGAAATTGTGCATGGTCTGTTTTGCATTACGATAAAGAATATGGTAAAAAAAATTATTGTTAACTTAAACGGTTTACCAATTTCAAAATATCGTTACAATTCAGTTCAATGGAATGTAGAAGGGGCTCTTTAAAGAGTTGAATTCTGTGTTAGATTTTGACTGTGTGGAGAAAAAGTTACATGTATCGTGAGTTATATCAATATATGTCGCTATCGACCAAATATTGTTTTGATCGGTAAATCACGATGCAAAAAACTTACACGACTTGCAGACGTCAATGTAAACAACTTCGCTATACGGAAAGTAGCGAATCCCGATTCCGATCAAAGAAAGAATTGAGAACGGTAGGAGATTCATGCTTTTCAATTGGATCAGTTTAATATAACAATTGATTACCCCATGTGAGTTCAACATGGTGAAATAAAGACCCTCGACATGCCCACTTGATAACATGCCCTGGTCGTCAGGTCACCTCGTGGGCCAGGTCTCATGTCCTTATTTCACCATGTTGACCTCAAAAAGGGTAATTAATTGTATATTACAAGATGCTGATGAGCAGATTAAGAAGATAAATATTGGATTCTAGTCAACAAACGACCAGAGTTCTAAGAAATAAGTGATGATAGCAGAGTAAGGAAATTTTGGTGGTCACAGTTTAATTCATTGGAGATATTGGAAGGTATTCTTTACCAAAGATGGAATAGTTCTAAAGAGTCGAAGAAATTACAGGACGTACTCCCTATGTCTGAAAGAAGAATGACACATTTGATTAGCCACGCTAACAAGTCCTCAGGGCACCTTGGGTGCGCAAGACCCTTGGTAGAATAAGACAAAAATACTATTGACTAGGGCTTCAGCAGAATGCGCTTTTGAGTTTTCGATTTTTAATGATTTTTTTTTTTTTTTTTTTTTGGAATTTATACTCAGAAAATAGCTAAATAAAGCTATTTGTAATAGCTTTAAGCTATATAGCTTTTTGAAGCTATGTAGCTAAATAAAGAGATTGTACTGGACCGGTTCAGGACAATTGCCGATATTTGTCGGTTTTGCCCCTTTGTAGAAATATAGGTGGCGCCACAACCGTTTAGGTCCAACAACACTTCCGGTAGTAAGTAAACACGTCAAATCTGTGCAACTGTCAATGTTATATCGATGTTTTCCAGGATTCACAAGTGTTATATCTGGTGTTAATTGAGCTTTCCTGTAGATAAGAATCTGGGGAAACGTTAAGTATCAGTCATACAAAGATTCGATCATGTATTTCGCTACAAAAACCTCGATGACTTCAGACACATTGTGTGGTGGGCCACATGCATTCGGTGAGACGTTCATCTCTGCAACATCAGAAGGTAGGTTCCTCATTTTGTTTTATTTGTATTTAAAAGTATTTTATAACTTTAAAATTTATATTTGCTGAGTAGACCCTGTAAATTATATGTCGTTTTCACATGTTTACATGAAGAGGGGGGGGGGGGGTTCAGTGTCAAACGTATCCGTTGTACTGTACATCACAATAAATTATAAACTATGACCAGGTATTCAATTAATCAATAATGATTTAAATGTGAAAAGGCTATAATACAAATTTATATGACTTTAATTAGTTTTTATTGTACAGTGTATTATATTGTTCTACGTTGATCTACTATATATAGTACTTAAGATACCAAAAAAAAACCCACACATACACACTTACACACGCACCCTCACACACATCAAGTCAAAATTTCAAATTCATGTAACATATTAATTTAATCTATAAATTTTATAACTTTCTTGACCATTTATAGGACCAGTTTAATCATGTTAATAAAAGGTCTTTTGATGCCTTGATACCAAGAGCCTGACCTTTCCAATTTATGCATGGAATGATTGGGGAAGATTTAACATAAAAGAAGGACACAGTGGGATTCTATATTAAGGTATGTAATTAGAATACCCCTGACATTTGTCAAGGATTACCCTTAATTTAATTTATTTAGCAGCTGTTTACTTTGAAATTTTGAAACAAAACTGTAATCTTGGGGTCAGAGAATTTCATATGTAAAGAATATTATAGCTTTAATTAATTTGACCCCCCCCCCCCCCCTACAGACCTTTCAAAATCCCGTCTTTTTCTCATTTTACATCAGATAAGCCTTGGCAGTATATTTTGATAAAAAATATGTTATGAATGCTGTAAAAAAATCATGACTGTCACAGTTTTCTAAAAAGATAAATAGGTTTCCTTTGGAAAAAAACATGGATATAATTCTTAATTTATATGAACATATAGGACTTGAAAGACTAACATGGCTTTGGAAATTATGTACAATATTTTAGGTGTATGATTTGTAATTCAGCATATTGCACATTTTAGTTGTTTTTGCATATGTCATTTTAATAAAACAATAGTATACAATATAAATGTTGTGTACAATTATTTGAAAAAAATTTATTTGTCAATTTACTTTTGCAGAATGAAGATCTAGGTTATATATATACAGGAAAGGTTTCAATGTCATGTCATAAAAATTATTTTTATGTTTGGCTGCTAATTAATATAATAGAGCATGATCATGTACATAAATGCATCTCTTAGGGAATTAAATCTTATTAAAATCAAAACTTTGTTACCCACTGAATTTCTGTACAATCTTTTGACCATCAGAAATTCGGAGCGTAACAAAGATCTGATTTAAATCAGATTGTGGGCACATTATACACACTCCAATTAAGATTTTCTGATGTAATAATTTTTAAAAAATATTTGTACAATATTTAGCAGGAATTACTTACAGGTTGTTTGTTTTATATGCACCAAAGAAATAAAAAAAATACTTTCAAGAGTTACACTGAGTATCAGCTGGTTAAATATGTTTCAAAGGAATGTCAATAATTATTTCCTTAAAATGTAGAAAATTCTAATTGATAAAGGGTTAACTGCATAAAGTTGGTGGTAAGAATCGGAAGAATCTTGCATAAGACATTTAGATAAAGGGACTTGAGATGTCCTTGTCATCTTTATATATTTTACTAGATCAAGGGGGCTTGCTCCTGGTGTGTAAAATTTAAAAAAAAAATCATATACAATGTGTTATTTTATTATAAGTGTATAAGATTTTTTAAAAATAATTATTACACGTCGGGAGCAAGCCCCAATCTGGCAAATCTTAGCACTCACTTGAAGTCACTTCTCCCCCATATCTATTCTCTCTCTCTCTCTCTCTCTCTCAACATGTTCGGTTAGGTCTACCAACGTTTATGTTTATATGATACGCTTCATCTCAGAAAATGTACACAAAATAATTTTTTTCCTTGTTTATTTTCATATACTGAGTACTCGGATTCTAGGGACGTACACACTGCACTCAGTGTCATTGTCCCAGGCATTAACAGCTGATTGCTACGTATGTGTTTTGTGCATGATTACATAACTTGTTATTCCCATTAAAAAATAATGTAAGACGAATAAAAATCTAAAACAATAACAGTGTATTTACTTTCTAATGTTTATAAAACATTGTAAATGCAGGCGTATTTCTTTCCGATCTATTTTATTTCCTTCATTAGTGTTTTTTATGCTAAACGCGATAGCTATTTGACTGAGGAAATTACGATTAATTATAATCTCAAAATACGGAACAGACCTTTCCACAAGCTCCAATTTCGATCAAAGTATCAGGACGTCGCCGATGTTATTCATTTTAAGATACTTTAAGACACCAAACACCGTAATCAGTCATTCTATTACGTAAATTTTCTCAACAATTGATACCTTGAGATATTGAAAGTGATCTCTAATCGCAGAGGTAAAAAGAATCTTGAACGTTAACGGTGCATACGCCACCTATATTCAGGGGCGGGTAATGCCATATGAGTTCTTACATTGCGGGATGTTACAAGTGTAGCCAAAGAAAAGCTCCACTGTGAACCAAGAAAGCGCAAATGAGATTACCATGGCTGTACTCCTACAAGTAAGAGCCTCGGTTCTCGTCCCTACGCTCCTTATATACTCGGACTCTTACATCCGAAGGCCATTTTCTAACGAGCTCGTTCCGCCTGAGATTTGGGGGGGGGACGTATTATGCGTGAAATAAACTGTTAACAAGTAAGTTTCAGGTACCTACGTGTTTGCATGGGGTATGAAAGTCACAAGAAATAATAAAATCCATTTTATTCAGTGTGCATTATTGTTAATTAATGAAAATTGTCATTATTCTAATTTGTCACCAGAAGTACTTTCGATTTGACTTCACATTAATTTTGCAGATTGCTTGTCAGAAAACAAAAGTTTCGTTGCATTACACTAGTTTCGTTTCGTCAGAACAGACAACTTGTTTCAATATTTCTGCTTCGATTTAAAAAATAATGGATTTATTGCTAATACGAGAGGTTAACAGTGTTTTATGCGTAAGTTTTATCGTAAATATAGAGAATTTTATTATTTCGTACCATTCGTTAATACACAAAGCCTTATTTCTTAATAAAATAATTATTTCCACTTGGGGTTTAGCGGCGAGAATTGTTACAATGGATGCTAGAGGTTACGCGGCGCCATGTCAAAAGTATCTGGCCGTGAACGTCTAGCATGCTGGAGTAACCATGGCTGGTGCTTCAATGGAACGCATTGCTATCAACATTCCAGGGGAATTACAGGTGACAGATGGATACTTTCATTTGTCGCAGATTAATTTTCTAAATGGACAGAGTCGTTCCACATGCACAACGCAGAAGAAGTGATTGTTGTACGCATTATCGTGGAAAAAGTTTTAGGTGTCCATTATACAATGTAGCATCCATTCAGACCAGGGGACCCAGTATGAGAGCCAGCTGTACTCCGATTATGTGCAAACTGGTATAAAGAAAACTCGGACCACACCATACCATCCCAAGTCAGATGGTATTATTGAATGATTGAACAAGACACTCACTTATATGCTGCGCTCGTATATTGACGAACATCATCGGAACTGGGACGCGCATTTACCGAACTTGATGATGGCATGTCGCCCTACTGAGCATGAAACCACATGTTGTACCCTTAACTGGGTAGTGCTAAGTCGAGACTTTGCCACCCATTGGACATCATGTACCAAATTATGAACGACATAGACCAAGTACCTCAACACCAATGGACATGAGTGTTGATGGAAAAGGACGCACACATTGCACACGGGAAAACGTGCAAAGGGAAATGCAAAGACAAAACAGGTACCACGATGCCAAGCTATATTGGGAAAAGTTTGATAAAGGCGACAAGGTATATGTGTTTTTCCCAACAAGAAAAGTTGGTACTTTATCAGAGCTGACAAGCTACTGGAGGGGTCCCATTTGAGATACTGTGCCAGATCTCTGACATTCTGTGTGAAGTAAACTGTGGTAACCGTGGTAAGAAGCAAGTGATTCACGTAGATAGACTTCTTCTACAAAATTCATAAGTTCTGTTAAGGGAGACAGTGGAAGAAGGTGCAACTAGTACAGAAATGGTATTTGAGAGGAAGGACGACTTTCAATTGGATCATACTGAAGATTAAGTTGAAAATAAACGCAAATACTATCCTCCATGCTGGCATGAAGATTGCGTTTTATGAGCAAAACACAAAGAAGCACCTTGGGTCAGCAAGCGAACTGATTGGTTCTATTTACCATTGGTTTATCAAATAATTGCATTTTGTTTTGCGTAATGGTAAATGTTGAAGGGTTGCATAGTTGAGTAAAATATTTATATTTTATTTTGCAGAATGGTGAATACAATGAAGATGTATTCTTTGTAAACAGGTAAATTGTGTTTTTGTTCGTTCTTAAATGCCGTTGTGTGTCTTTTCTTATGCGAGGACGCATAAAACTGGGGTGGGGCCTGGGATGATGAAACGGAAAGCTATTTTTCTATAATTTTCATGAAAGCGAACGTTATCACCCTTGTCGTTTTTTTTATTACTTATTATGTCCATTAAAATAAAGATTGAATTAGATTTGAATTCGAGTTAAAGTTAACAATGATCGTCATTTTATGTTTTTTAGGTTTGATAAAGATTTGTTAAATACAATCTTGATTAGTATTCTTACTAGTTTTAAATAAATAATCACTCTGTATTATTTATGGTACTTGGGTTACATAGGGTTTTTACTGGCAATTGTACAAGAAGGATGGCTCTACTCGATAACCCAATGAAGGTGTGCACAAGCATGCTGTCAAGTGTGCGGTCATCCCTGCTTGTTACTGGCAGGTGTGCGGTTATCCAAGCTTGTCCCTTGTGGAAGTGTGCTGGTTTGGGGACTTACCTGCCAGTGTCACTTTGTTTGCCTGTTCGCCAGTAAAAACCATATATACGCAGTACTGAGTGACTAAGACTGTACATTGTATATATTTGCAGCATCGCAAAGCTATTCGTATGTATCGCGGGTACGAGCCCGCGGGAGTTCACAAGAAGCGATCTCCTTTGCGCGTTACACTTTTTATACCTAGAAGCATTCCTGACATGGCGTACTCAGGACAATCCGCTCCACCACTCACGCTCAAAGATTCTAAGAAGGTTATCATTTGGCTCCAGTCTTTAGTTTCTATACCCGTGGTCAAGTTTTCTATATATATTAAAAAAAAAACAGTTGTATCAAATGTAGGAGGATGAACAATAGCTATGATCAAAAATTGTTGTGCCATTGACTGCATGATTTATACAGGTAACTGAAATGAAAATCCAAAGAATTTAATTTTAATTACATGTCATTAAATCAATTTCTTTTGCATAAAATTATTCTTTTAACTGTTTTCAACACAGATAGATCATACTAACCCCCCCCCCCCCCCCGAAAACAATATATAACAAAACATATTCATTATGAAAATAAACCTCTACTTCCATATAAGGGGGCCCAAAAGGGTGGATCGAATAGTATATTTATTTATATCAAGTTACCTGGATCACTAAATGTAACAAGGATGTATTTTTCTGGTACAAACGTAGAGTTTCTAGATTCCTCAACCAATTTCACTGTAGCCCTCTTCACACCTTCGATGTCGTCCCCCATTGACCCAGTGACGTCAATTACAAAAGCCAGTGATTTTTTAATGACCTCTTGCTTTGATTTGATATGTAAAACTTCCTTAAAAATATTTGGCCCTAAGATGTTGAACAAGCCTGTCCCTGCGAATAAAATAAATCTTTAAGTTGTAAAAAAGAAAGAAATCAATATTTTTTTTTCCACTTTGCTTTTTTTTAAACTAAATAAAACAGTTTTAATTGCTTGAATGTTATTATTTTTAAGAACATTCACGTTCATCCGTTAAAAAGTGGTGTGTCGCCTTAGTCGCCGCCTCCGTTGCTTGATGGTGCAAATGATGATGTGGTGATTCAGCAGGTGAAACACGGCCTTTATAAATACCACCAGTAGCTGGAAAATGGCGCGAAATGTCGTCTGTCGTCCCATGACTGCACTTACCAGAATTTGCACCCAGCGGCTCTTAGAAAAAAAGCGTTATATTAATAGGTTTTTATGATAAAATTAGCTCGATTCAAATAAAAATGAAAACCCAAAACAAAATAGAAGAAAAAGTAGCAAATGTTTGCGAACCAAAAATGGCATTAAGATTTAGAATACAAATACATTTACGTAATAGTTCCTTACCAGTAGGTTTTGATATGTCCTGGTTCGCCATGTAACTACTTGTTAACTTGGAGGTAATGATGTTATCAGTGCAATCATAAATATCACTGAAAATAATTATGATTAATTGATTGATTAATTAATTAATTACTGATTCTTTTTTTTATTGGCTTCATCACACGGGAATAGGTAAATAAACACTGTCAGGCATTCTTTAATCTTATGTAGGAATACTAGTAAACATAAACAGGAGACATAAGAAGATTTTCATTTTGTCAATAACTTTTTAATTTGATTTTGTTTATTTTAATTCTTTTATTTATTTTTGCTGTCGTTGTTTATTACATAGTACGTTCCGTTCGATAATTTTTACTCATACTGAGATTTTTCCACTCATACTGAGACGCCTACGGAAGCCCATTTAGGACCTATCAAAAAATATTTTTGAATTCGTTATAACGATTTTTAGCTCTACTGGTCAGAGACCAGAAGAGCTTATGCGATAGTAATGCGTCCGGCGTCCGTCCGTCTGTCCGTCTGTCTGTCTGTCTGTAAACAATTTTTCAAAATGCTACTCCTCCTACAGTTTTGATCTGATTTCAATATAACTTGGCATATAAGTAGACTACACTAATATACATAATTCTGTATATCGGTTTTTGATTTCGACGAACGGTGTTGGCGTTGTTACTAAAAATAGAAATTTCTTTGAAATTCTTTCGAAATGCTACTCCTCCTACAGTTTTGGTCTGATTTCAATATAACTTGGCACACAAGTAGACTACACTAAGATACATAATTCTGTGTATCGGTTTTTGATTTCGACGAACGGTGTTGGCATTGTTACTAAAAATAGAAATTTCTTTGAAATTCTTTCGAAATGCTACTCCTCCTACAGTTTTGGTCTGATTTCAATATAACTTGGCACACAAGTAGACTACACTAAGATACATAATTCTGTATATCGGTTTTTGATTTCGACGAACGGTGTTGGCATTGTTACTAAAAATAGAAATTTCTTTGAAATTCTTTCGAAATGCTACTCCTCCTACAGTTTTGGTCTGATTTCAATATAACTTGGCACACAAGTAGACTACACTAAGATACATAATTCTGTGTATCGGTTTTTGATTTCGACGAACGGTGTTGGCGTTGTTACTAAAAATAGAAATTTCTTTGAAATTCTTTTGAAATGCTACTCCTCCTACAGTTTTGGTCTGATTTCAATATAACTTGGCACACAAGTAGACTACACTAAGATACATAATTCTGTGTATCGGTTTTTGATTTCGACGAACGGTGTTGGCATTGTTACTAAAAATAGAAATTTCTTTGAAATTCTTTCGAAATGCTACTCCTCCTACAGTTTTGGTCTGATTTCAATATAACTTGGCACACAAGTAGACTACACTAACATACATAATTCTGTGTATTGGTTTTTGATTTCGATGAACGGTGTTGGCGTTGTTACTAAAAATAGAAATTTCTTTGAAATTCTTTCGAAATGCTACTCCTCCTACAGTTTTGATCTGATTTCAATATAACTTGGCACACAAGTAGACTACACTAAGATACATAATTCTGTGTATTGGTTTTTGATTTCGATGAACGGTGTTGGCGTGGTTACTAAAAATAGAAATTTCTGTGAAATTCTTTCGAAATGCTACTCCTTCTACATTTTTGGTCTGATTTCAATATAACTTAGCACACAAGTAGACTACACTAAGATACATAATTCTGTGTATCGGTTTTTGATTTCGACGAACGGTGTTGGCATTGTTACTAAAAATAGAAATTTCTTTGAAATTCTTTCGAAATGCTACTCCTCCTACAGTTTTGGTCTGATTTCAATATAACTTGGCACACAAGTAGACTACACTAAGATACATAATTCTGTGTATCGGTTTTTGATTTCGACGAACGGTGTTGGCGTTGTTACTAAAAATAGAAATTTCTTTGAAATTCTTTTGAAATGCTACTCCTCCTACAGTTTCTGTCTGATTTCAGTATAACTTGGCACACAAGTAGACTACACTAAGATACATAATTCTGTGTATCGGTTTTTGATTTCGACGAACGGTGTTGGCGTTGTTACTAAAAATAGAAATTTCTTTGAAATTCTTTTGAAATGCTACTCCTCCTACAGTTTTGGTCTGATTTCAATATAACTTGGCACACAAGTAGACTACACTAAGATACATAATTCTGTGTATTGGTTTTTGATTTCGATGAACGGTGTTGGCGTTGTTACTAAAAATAGAAATTTCTTTGAAATTCTTTTGAAATGCTACTCCTCCAACAGTTTTGATGTGATTTCAATATAACTTGGCACACAAGTAGACTACACTAAGATACATAATTCTGTGTATCGGTTTTTGATTTCGACGAACGGTGTTGGCGTTGTTACTAAAAATAGAAATTTCTTTGAAATTCTTTCAGATTGCTACTCCTCCTACAGTTTTGGTTTGATTTCAATATAACTTGGCACACAAGCATACTACACTAAGATACATAATTCTGTATAAGGGTTTTTGATTTAGACGAACGGTGTTGGCGTTGTTACTAAAAATAGAAATTTCTGTAAAATTCATTCAAAATGCTACTCCTCCTACAGTTTTGATCTGATTTCAATATAACTTGGCATATAAGTAGATTACACTAAGATACATAATTCTGTTTATTGGTTTTTGATTTCGATGAACGGTGTTGGCGTTGTTATTAAAAATAAAATTTTTGTAAATTCTTTCAAAATGCTAGTCCTCCTACAGTTTTGGTTTGATTTCAATATAACTTGGCACACTAAGATACATAATTCTGTGTATGGGATTTTGACTTCAATGAACATTATTACCTTGGTTAATAAAGATATCAATTTCTGTTACTCTCAAAATGCTACTTCAAATACAGTTTTAGTCTGATTATAATATAATGTGGCATGCAAGAAGACTAAACAAGAACATAAAGAGACTTATTCAAGGATCATTATTCTCCTTTTTGCTAGTGTAAATTTTCAATTCCCAACTGGTTAAGTACTTTCCTCTTCCTTTGTCATAAGAACAAACCAGTAGAGCTTCAGTCTCGACAGAGACTTCTGGTTTAGAATTCGTTATAACGAATTAAATTTGTTATAACAGATTTATTGAATTCGTTATAACGAATTTAATTTGTTATAACAGATTTATAAAATTCTTAATAACGAATTTAATTTGTTATAACAATTCATTGAATTTGTAATAACGAATTTAATTTGTTATAACAGATTCATTGAATTCGTTATAACGAATTTAATCTGTTATCTCAGATTTGTTGAATTCGTTATAACGAATTTAATCTGTTATTACAGATTTGTTGAATTCGTTATAACGAATTAAATCTGTTATTACAGATTTCTTAAATTCGTTATAACCAAATTCCTTGAATTGGTTATTACGAATTCAACAAATCTGTAATAACAGATAAAATTCGTTATAACGAATTCAATAAATCTGTAATAACAAATTAAATTTGTTATAACGAATTCAATGAATCTGTTATAACAAATTTAATTCGTTATAACGAATTCAATGAATCTGTAATAACAAATTAAATTTGTTATTACGAATTCAACAAATCTGTAATAACAGATAAAATTCGTTATAACGAATTCAATTAATCTGTAATAACAAATTAAATTTGTTATAACGAATTCAATGAATCTGTTATAACAAATTTAATTCGTTATAACGAATTCAATGAATCTGTAATAACAAATTAAATTTGTTATAACGAATTCTAAAAATCTGTTATAACAAATTTAATTCGTTATAACGAATTCAATGAATCTGTAATAACAAATTAAATTTGTTTTAACGAATTCTAAAAATCTGTTATAACAAATTAAATTTGTTATAACGAATTCTAAAAATCTGTTTTAACAAATTAAATTCATCATAACGAATTCTAAAAATCGTTATAACGAATTCAAAAATATTTCTGATAGGTCCTAAATGGGCTTCCGTAGACGCCAACATTTACCGAAAAAGGGTTGTATATTTAGAACTTTACTCAGCAATCATGGCCTTGAAGCAGTGAATGATATTTTTTGTACCAGCACTTACTTCTACGTAGGACCTCGGTTTATACGGTCTCCACTTCGCACTAGAATCCGAAACGTACATGTAAGTATCAACTCTGAACTCTGCGACTGTAGAATAAACGCTCTAACCACAATGCCATGTAAACTTGCATTAAAAATACGTTTTTTGTGCATATTCAGTTTATACTAGAATGTGAATTATCGTTTTACATGACTGAGCATATTGTGGACATGTTCCGTAATGTTAAAGAACACCCTCATAACTTACGGCTTTTGATGGGTTTCAATTACCATTTGCTCTAATATACATGTAATACTTATATAAGGTACTGATCCTGAGCTATTTACATGTACCTACCTCACTGGTTATATTTTATAAACATGTTTTACGGCTAAACATAATTAATATATCCCTATTCCGAAACATCACGGCCAGGAACACGTTAAGATCCAAGACAGTACCGTTGTCAGAAACATTTAAAGTTAAGCACTAAAAATGGCTCGTTGTCATGAAAATACAGGTAAGGTTATGACAAAAACTGTCCGGTGTCATTACTTTAGAAGACAGGTCGTGAGCAGTTTTTCATTTTTTAAGTTAAATAATTTCAACCAATGTCTAAAATTACAATGGGGAACAGGACTGACGCCCCTTTTGGTGTTGTATGATTTTCAGCCGTTAAAATGAAGTAATAAAAGAGGAGTTTGCGTTGGCGATATTGAACCCTGGTGAAATCAAACGTGGATTTCATTCATTTTCCTTCTGAGATGTTATATTTTTTGTAAATGTAATATCATATATATACCAATTGATGCAGTCAGTATGAAGACATGATATAAGCATTTACGGGAAAAAATAAAACAAATTATAACTGGAATATTTGATTTATTATAAATTATGTCCGTTGTCATGACAAGATACGAAAATTCAGTCCGTTGTCATCGGTCCGTTGTCGCTACTTTACTGTACGTATACACTATAAAGGAGGTTGATTTTAGTTTTTTTTAATGCTTTGATAAATTTCAAACATGCCTTCAATGGGTGAACTAATTAGTCATGAGAAACTAAACGTATGCTATTTTGTATATTTCATATAATGTTCAGCTTTTGTTTGTCATACATATGGGCTTCAGCCTTTTTCCTTAAAAAACTAATTTCAAAGTGAAGGAAGAAATATGCACGCTAACTCTCGATTCCTGCCTACATTTTGCACTCATTTTGTCTAATACTAATGGCAATTTGGCCATAAAATCGTTTTTATTACAACAGTTAAGTGGTAATTGATGGATTGTTTTGATACCAGCGCTAAATAGTGAATTATCCCTATTTCAAGCTCTTAAAAAGGGGGGTCGGGATAGACGATATTCTCCATTGAAAGATCACCATATTTTGAAATAGCCTTGGATATGATTAAATGTACCTAGTATATTTTCTTATGTTTTCGGCAAAGAAATTATAAAAATAAATGTATTAATAAAATGTAATGTTTCAGTTGTAAATCGCTTCGAAATTGGTGAAAAAATAAGCATTTAAATATCAGCCTGACAGTGCAGTAAAAAATAACCAAACACAGATATGCAGTTTTGTCGATTATTTCATTCACTTGAATGGCATAAAGTAAAATTATAAGAAACCATTAAGAGGGATCACCTGATATTAAACAAAACAAGATAAAACATGAACATAGGTGCATGAAAGGTACAAGTAAGATCCCCCTGAGACTGACTAGAAATTTACATGCAGTGAAAATAACAGTTTACATGTAAATATGCATAAAATATAACATAAATAAGTTAATCCTTGGAGGCGTCCAAACAATTGCACCAATCCCAGATGACAAGTTACTACTGTAAGAAAAATACAAATTTTGACCAGATTGCAAAATAATACAAAAATGAACCCATAAAAAGGAGGGGAGGTCCATCGCACTAACAGGGTTACAGAAATGGCGCAACAAAAACAAAGATTTTTTTCGATTAAAAAAATCCGTAACCATGGTTACTACCTGACGGTTTAAGATTTAATAGATTTCTCATAGCGGCTTAAATTGAATTATCTGTGATAACTTTGTTTTTCTTTTTGTCGTTTTTTGTCTTTAAACATATCTATGATAATATTGTTTTTGTCGTTTTTTGTCTATAAAGTATACAAATCCCCCCCCCCCCCTTGAAAAACAAAAAGCTTTGGTTTGAATTTTTTTAATAAAAATAGTCCATATCACCTGTAAAAAAGGAATTTTTGTTTCACGGGGGAGGGGATCCGTATTTTCGTTGATTTCTTTTGTGAAAAACAAAAGTTTTACCAAATTTTTATGGTTATCTCTCTTTGTTTTCCCAAATAAGTAATGTTTTGTGAAAATTTATATAATACTCTATGAAAAAAAATATATATTAAAAATCCTTCGAATATGTTAACTTTTGAAAATTATAACTTTAGTTGGCGGTGGGCGGAAAAACAATATGTATTCAAATATTATATCATCTGTTATTATATATATTATATTATTTTTTAACATTAAGAAAATATTCAAAGATTTTATGCAAACGTTAATTTAAGAGCTTATATCTCAAAGTAAAAGATTCGAGTCATTGGTTCATATTTCTCTTCATTTTGAATAAATTTCCTTGCCTATTCAAAAAAAATCTTTTAGGAGTGAACATCCTCTGTCTACCGTTTACACCTACTGTGTGCCCCTTGTCTTGATCGCGGGAAATGTACCGGGAAAAATCCGTCAATGTGTAAAAAAAAAGGCCTAATAATTACTATGAAAAACGTCAGTCAGCATTTGACTCCATGATAAATTGTATTTGCTGACAAGATCATTGCTTCGACCAAGGAACTTATGAAATTATGACTTTCTAAAACAAGACTTTTGATATTCTTGTTTCAGTAACTTGTTTGTCAATAATTTAATACGTATTAAAAATTTCTGTATTTTTAAGTTTTCGTAGATCTAATATTTTATTTTTGTTTTCCTGATAATATTTCAGGAATTGTTATACCTTTGCACTCTATATATTAAAAATCATTAGAGAATGGTACGCACGTTCAGTTATATACACTATTCCTAAGACGACCCCCCAAAAGATTAAAAAATTTCTGCAATATGCTTTCTCTTTCTTAAGAGTACATATACATTTGATCATTTTTGTTATATACGTATTTATTGATCAGTCTGACTAAAACCAGCCCTTACTATTTTACTCCTAACAAAGTGAAATAGGGACTAGCTTTAGTCAGACTGTTTTATTGATAAACTTATATGTTAAGAAAAAGACACCGGACGAGGAAAACTTAACATGTACCGACAACGGACATTTTGCTTTTAAATAACGATTTCTTAAAGCCTGCTATAAAAATTAGGCTGTCAGTTGCCTAACACGTGTAAAATTAGGTTTTTCTTCATATTTCAAAATAAAAGGTCTATTTTGATAAAGTTTACGTAAGAAATATTAAATTTTCAGGCTGACGATCATGACTTCACACATGGGCATGTGATTGCCAACGCAAACTCCTCTTTTATTACTTCATTTTAACGGCTGAAATTCATTCAACACCAAAAGGGATGTCAGTCCTGTTCCCCATTGCAATTTCAGACATTGGTTGAAATTATTTAACTTAAAAAATGAAAAACTGCTCACGACCTGTCTTCTAAAGTAATGACACCGGACAGTTTTTGTCATAACCTTACCTGTATTTTCATGACAACGAGCCATTTTTAGTGCTTAACTTTAAATGTTTCTGACAACGGTACTGTCTTGGAACTTAACGTGTTCCTGGCCGTGAACATGTTCGATTGGGATTTTCACCGTTTGAAGAATGTGATACTAAAACAATTGACTTAGAATAAAGACTCCTTTGATAAATCATTTCTTTTTTAAAAACTTTGACATCTGCGAAGATGTATATGCATATATTTGTATCATATTCAAGCCTTTGTAACAAAAGGTATTGTAAAAAAAAATGCGGAAGTTTTAGACGCATTCCTTGAACAATCACGTTGTTATTTTTAATTATTAAGCCTTGGCAATGAAATTTTAAATCACAAATTATAGCATTATATAGTTTTAAAGCCGGGGAAAATTACAGAAGTGCTATTTTGTCATGATGTTGAAAGTTATTTAACACCAAAAAGACTTGAATAACAGAGTTATAAGAAGAAAAACTACAAATAGGAGAGAAAAATTTGAAAGTTTGTGCAAGTTTGACTTAAATGCTAAATTTTATCCTGCCTACCTTTCGTCTTTTGGACAATTTTTACACGATTTTTCTGCAGAACTTGCCACTTCCATCAGCGTTACATTTTCTTGACCTTTAGCAGAGTTTAGACAAAACAAATATTTCAGTGTTAAAACGTGAGCGTAAAAAAAGTTGAATTTTACATTTACTAAAGAAAATTACCCATTCATACCAAAATCTGGATAGTGATTATCTCCAAAAATCTCCACCCAGTTAGTGTTACTGTAGAAGGCTTGTATGGTATACAAACAGTAACCCAGTTTCTCTTGAATCAATTCAATATCGGGCTTATCTAACTTTGCCAATGTTTCGATTTGCCTACGCAAAGACCTTATATAATTGTGTGCTGGAAAAGAAAATACATATTATAAAAAAAACTATTGCCAACTTACTTAACACAAATGATGAAGGCAGGAATATATATCAAACCATTCATCTTTTTCCTTTAATTCATATATGGTGAAGTTATTTTATCTTCAGAAATGTGATTTGATTTCAACATGCATCATTTAGTAAACATCAAGTGGCATCATTTTATTTCAATTTCATTTTTTCCCAACTGTTAAAAATATGCCTTCGATAATTCACAAGTAAACTAATTCTGATTATATAACGCCTAAACACATTCATATTCTCCTTAATACAAAAGTTTCAACTTGATTATTTTCTATTAACCTTATAAAGGAAATTATGACTAAACACGGTTGTTGAGCAAAATTAATCATACTTAATAGGATTGTGTCTCTTTTGCATCTTACCATCTATTACATGTTGTAACCATGTACATGTATATGCTACATGCTTATGCTGAGACCACACAACTTTGATGTAACTTATTTTCTACGCATTATGTTACATTCATATGTTGCATAAATGTTCAGTTTACTAACATTTAACACAACATATGCATTTTTTTAACTTGGTCATTATAAAATATATACAAGCTGAACAATGATTTACATTGTATCACGCTATCATACCATTATATTTCTATACAAACTGTACAACAAATTAATTAGTTACATGTATATTGTACTTATGTTATTTGGGTGTATTTATATGTAATCATAATTATTATATGTCATGCCCCATGAGGACCTAATTTGGAAATAAATTCTATTCTATTCTTAGTCTATTCTATTTATTCTAATCATAGACTCTGTTGCTTCTCTAAAATATTTTATGTTCCTTAATTCACTGGCGGATTCAGAAGGGGCCCCCACCCCCTCTTTTTGAGTCCCCAAAAATTACACAATAAGCGATAAATCAATGGGGTTTTTTTTGGGTGTGGTTGTGGGCCTCTAACCTGACTTCAACTGGTCAACCCCTCTCAAAATATATGGAGCCAAAACCATCGACAAAAAATCGGGTAAACCTGTTTGTGAAATATTTCGAAAGCCGTTATCTCGAGTGAATATGTTGACATAATTGAGAGAACAAACTTCTCTTCTCTCTACACTTTAACTCCGATATCTCAAATCCTCGTTAATTTACGTTTTGTTTCATGGTCCTCCGATTTCAAATTAACTATATTGGACTGTTTATTCAAAATTGTATCTGTTATAACTTACCCTTGACAATTTCTTCACCATTCACGTGATAAAAAGCAATATTGGC